CAAATCAGGTTTGAGGCTTACTGGGGACTTGCGAAGTTCGTGATTAGGCGTCGAGATAACGACCAACAAGTCCTCCAAGTCCCTTCTGCTTTGCACCAGGGTCGCAATGTTTCGGTTTAGGGTTTTTCACATTTCGAAGCCACCCCGAATCCCGGTTGTGTAGAGGAGCATGCTTGCTGCTAGACCCATAATCGCCCAGATATCCGTCACTCTTTAAGTTTCCGCCTGTCACTGGTGTCGGGGAAAAACTTCTTTTGAGTTTGACCGATTTGTGACGGAATCAAGCAAGCTATCACGAGCCGACTGCAGACTGAGAGGTCGGTGGAATTGGATAAACCGGAAGACGCTTCAACTTGCAATGTCTGGCTGGACAGGAAGGGGATGCTAATTACTACTTCGTAGTACCAACATTGCCAGAACATTGAAATCGTTTGAGTTCTGAGGCAAGAAGCCCACGCCATCCATGTGCCCAAAGCTCCAACACAGGTGCATTTTGCTTAACAAGGTTGTCACCATGTCCTTCAATCGAAGCTGTGGAGAAATTGTCTAGAAAACAGTAAATACCTGTATAAGTATAATATGTCAAGATGTCGATTTTAGCAAGTCGGTTGAGGATCATCAGAGCCCACGACTTGATCTGATTGGCAAATACGAAGTACAGGTGACGAGATTCACCTCCGCGGAGTGAATGGATTATGTAAGTGCCAATGTTCAATGTTGATCCGAACCTCGCAGTCCACATGAACTCTCCACTCAACTCGATTGCAATGTTCTACTTCGTAATGACATGAGACGAACCGTAAAAACTTGATAGATTTTGAGAATAAACTTATCTGTGCATACTCGATCCATCATCATACTTGGGTCGTGCGTTCTTGGCAAGTCGATCAAAAAGAAGCAAGAAAGAAAAATTTTTTTTTCTTTTCCCCTCCATCCCAATCCTCACATGCGTTTTACTAGTAATGGGGAGGACAAGCGAATTCCACCTCTATGGTACGGAAGTCGCCACGGAGAACGCCGCGCTAGCCATAGGGCGATGCATGCAACCTGAGAACTCACTATCATTAAACGAGGCCATGCCAAGAACACCATCCGCTTCCAATTCGGTGCTGACCCACACTCTGACAAGGGACATGGACATGTCTTGGTTGGGGGTTATTATGATGGGAGCCAGGAGTGTCTGTTCATGGTATCCACCAAAGGATGCGAAAAGAATGGAGCTGTCTCTCCCAAGACATCAATAGCCCACAGCTAGAGCAGGATATGTCCGTGAGCTCTTGCTTTCTCAACGGCCAAAGTATCGCCATTTGTATTAGGGCCCACAATCTGGCGTTTAAATCCAGGTCAGCATGTGTCGATTTGGGACTCACGGGTTGCACATCCGTCGTCTCCGGCGTCGTGACTTGATGGCGAGAATTTAAGCTCGTGCGGAAACGCGTCGTAATTACTAGCTCGGGATTGAAGTTTTGACCGCAAACCCATGCCACGCCACGCCATCAGGGTTGTGTTAAAAGCCTAAAACACCCAAGTTCCAAAAAAAATAATACCCACGTCCTTTGTGTCGAGACCCTTGGGTTTGACAGAGGTGGCAAACGAGATTCTCCATAGACATAAGATTTGGAGGGATGGGTGGACCTGAAAACTTGTGGAATCATCGCCATATCGTGTCAATTAGGTCTGAGGAAGGTGCAATCTATATTTGATATCTGTGGCCAAAACCCGCATCGGAGACTTGTAGTGTGCCACCTGGGCCGACCTTATCAGTTGTTACCACGCCTCCATCAATTGATGTCAATGCGAGATGCAGCGAAGCCCTCTGTGACGTAGCTACGACCTGGATTTAGCAGGTGGTCGATATTTGCCTCCGAAGCTTAAGTGCTCAATAGCATCCCTCGAGTACATTTTGCGCTCCCCGACGTGTAGTGCAAAGAGAGCAGGTTTTTTCCCCTAAAGTCGTGGTGAGACACCTGGATGTTCATTACCAATTGACTGTCGCATCTGGCTTATTAAAACGACCTGTTGAGAGAACAGGAGATTTACCGCCGGCCGGTTACGGAGTGGGGCGGTGAGGACTAAGAACAAGACCGGCGTCGGCGTCAGCACGTTAGATTGTAAAATGTAAATGCAACGAGACCGATACTATCTCGGAGCGCGGGCAGGCCAGCACAAGAATCGAGGAAACTCAATCATCGAGGTATTGGCCCAGTTTCGTGTCGACCGCGTCGCCCTTGCCGTGTCTACAATGCCATCCAAGGCGAAGAATAACCTCATCTAATCCCAACGACCGGCCTTGCATTGATTCTAACAGCTTGGTTTTAGTTTTCCTCCTTCTTTTCTTTTTTTACCCCAGTTTGCATGAACTATAAATCGAATGCCGCGTGCAATAGAGTGACTTTGTGGCTGTTCTGAGACACTCGGCGCCGAAGGAGAATCAACACCGATCTTCAGGAAAGTTGTGCGAGACTCGTACACGTTCGGGACAGTTCCCCATGAAGTCAAGGAAACAAAGGCGATAGGCCAGTGTTTTTTTCGGCGCCGGATGGATGCAAATTAACAACGGCAGTGAAACAGAGTACATACAGTCCACCCGCATCTCTTCCAGTACCTCGACTTCGTACACCCTCACTTGCCGCGTTCGTTTGCACAAGCTTCACACAATACAGCATCCTCGTACATTTCCGACGTAATGCTCTATTGTATTCGGCCAATTCGCCAAAGCCGTGCCCCCCAATATTCACCCCCGTCTTTCAAAAGATGGTCGAGACAAGTTTACTTGGGGGTCCAGAACAGGCGTAGGGCAGACCTATCAATGTGGCAAGGGCCAATTCTGTGTTATCGGCGACGAGACGATAGATCTCGACCGTTGATCCCTGCTTGCAGATGTCGGTCGGACCAGCACTAATGCTAGTGTCTTGACTAGTCTGGGAGAAATGTATGATGTGCGGCTACGGTGCTCGCTAGTGCATAGTGTAGTGTGCGAAGTACGAAGTATGTGATGTTCGAAGTACTTCATCGTACCCACAAGTGATGATATGGATCAGATCAATGGCGACTTGGCTTGGTGATCATTTGTCTCTACCCTACCCTCTCTACTACCTTTGTCTGTTGGAGAAGCCTCCAGTTCTATCTGGTGTAGCCTGGTTGCCAAGGTGGGCCACGGTTGTACACTAGGTGCCGCATAATCATCAATGAGCCTGGGAGCAGGAGGGCTGTATGTCACAAAATTCAATTATGCCAAAGTACTCGTAAAAGAGAGTTATGAGTAGGACAACGTACGACTGACGAATAAGCCAATGCCGACCATTTCCAGCCGTGTTGATGGTCTGACTTCACCATCACTGCGGGGAGATCCTGGAAATCTAAGAACAAGACACCAATTTGAATACATTTACACACTCTGTATGAGCCTCCCCAGATCTGGATTGATTACGCTTTGAACTGTATTTTCCTTTGCATCGCTACCCCATGGTTCGTGGTTCGATGGTCTTGTTATCAAGAGCAATTGAACGAATGGCTGTGACGCCTGCAACCTCGTAATACACCCTGGATTTGATCTCAACTCGCGCCTGTCCCTGTTATTCTGGGCGCTACTCCCCGGACTAGGCCTAGTATCCCAAGTATCCGCGAGGAGATTGAACATTGATGCCTGTGCGTGGTGCTGGGTTGAGTGTTTCGACATCAGGGCGAACACCACACAAGCTCACTGATCGATCAATTCAACCAAAGTCGCCAGCCCACTATTGCGTAGTGTACTTCATGCTTGTATAGGGGTGGGTGGGCTCTGCAAGTTCGCACTCGCCGGGCAACAAGTCTAGGGTACATGTGCACTACACTGTACTGTGGACGCCAAAATTTTTTCACCCCCTCCGGTTCCTATCTGTCCACGCCCCCTGGCACCCCCCTTTTTCAATCAAGATCATCGAAAAATTCGCAAAAAATTCGAGCACTCTCGGCTGCTCCTGCCTGGGTGGCCAACCCCCCCCCCCCCCCCCCCTTGCTGCTTCACAGAAACAAAACCATCCCACCTTGAAGTGACTTGTTGATGTACGGAGTACCGATTACATCACCACTTACCTTTCCATCTCCGGTCAAGTGCGAGTCCAACAAAGTCGTAGCTGTGGCAAGGCTTTTTATATCGAAGTCAACCACCCACCCCTTCCATTTAGAGGGCTTCTTTTCCTCCAGCCGGTTCTTTCAATAGATCCGATCTTCAACCTCATTCAATTCCTCGACGAATCTGGGGCAAACTAATCTCTCTCTTATAAAGAGAAACGGACACCTGAATCTCGGCCAGAGATCCTAGAAATATATTTCTTGGACTTGCCTGCCCACCCACAACAAGGAAGGAACCATCCCACCTCCACGCCTTCCCCCCACGACCAAACGATCCTCCTCACAACAACCTCACGGTCCGACTCGCCCTCGCTTTCTTCACTAATCACTTCCCACCTTCTTCTCGAAAAGAAACTATCTGTCTGAGTTGCTGGAATATTGCCTCGACAGATTGTTTCTTCCTAATACTCTCTTCCGCCTCTTTTTCTTTCTTCTCGTGCTGTGTAAGTGGAAGAAAATTCAGCCCACGCCCATCCTCGCCCTCGCCACAAGGACGCTTTCACCCCACACATACGTTATCGATACTTCCTCGTCGTTGACCCAACATTCCAACCTGCGATTCCCTAATTGCCTTCTTTTGCGCTTTTCTACCCGAAAACCATCCCTGTTCGGGCATTCTTTTGGACAATGCTGGTGACTCTTCGGTCACATCGTTCAGTTTCAGTGTACTAAGATTCGCGAATGCAGAATCTCGAGAGCCAGCGAATCTCGCGCCGGCCAGTCCATTCTTGATGCAATTGGATCATTAAGGCCTACGATCCATTCGATCTCACCGACTCCCTTCGCCGAAGGTTTCTGAAAAACTCCTTCCTGAACCCTTCCTATCTCTTCGAACCTACAAGGCCGACATCCTTCCCACCCCCAACAACAGGCACCCGGTCTTGGGAATGCCTTACATTCCGCCTTCCAAGTCGGCTGCTTCTTCTCCCCCGCACGGGTCGCCCAATGCTACCCGCAGACACTCCGAGCCCACGCTCGGCGCTGCGCTTCCGCGGTCCTCCTCGTATCTAACAAAGCACCGAAGGACGCCATCGGCTTTGGGACTATCAGGACAAGCAAATGGTGGTCCCAATAACCCTACGCCTCCGGGGACCTCGGAGGATTTGAAGTCCTTGGCGAGGGGGATTGGGAGCATTCGGCAATCTCCCCCACCTGTGACTGGCCCACGGGGTATGCCCTCAGGTGCCGTCATCTCGCCTCCAGACTCTCTATCCGGTAGCGACGATGAGGGTCTCGAAATGCGTGGGAGGAAGCTCACAAACCTCAAGGCTCTGAAGGATGCCGTCAACAGTATTCCGCTTCGAAGGGAGAGCTCGCCAGTCGATGAACCGTCTCCGGTTACTCCAACAGTTACAGAGCTTCTCTCGCAGCCGGTCACATTTGTTGAAGGTATGCACCACAGCTATAGTACTGGCGCTTTAGATGCCCTAGGCTCGCGGAGAACTTCACGTGCGGTGCCGGGCATGGAGTGCAGTGCCATCCATTCGAGTGGCTCATTAACACCCTCTGAAGAGGATTCAGAAGACGAGAAGCGGGCTAAGCCTCCTATGGTGCGCAAAAAGTCTGGCGAGCTTGTTCGTCCGGCTCTGCGCCCGCCTTCGCGCCGCCGACCATCCAGCATGCCCGGCACCCCAACCTTCTCGAAAGCGGTTCACTTTGATGCTCACCTTGAGCACGTTCGTCACTTCCTCCAAGTCGACAGACCTCTCGCTGTCAGTGCCGGGTCGAGCCCCATCGACCACCTCGATAGTGATTCGGAGTATCCTTTCCCCCCCTCCGATGACGAACACCCGCGCCAGCCGCGATCTCCGCCCTTTGAGTGGGAGATTATTACCTCGAACTTTCCCACTGATGATTTGGCCCGCAACGCGCTTCCAGCCCGCGTTGAGCGCCTGTGGCTGTCCAAGGACTGCCGTTCACTTCATGGTTCCATCTCCGTGGCCAACCTAGCCTTCCACAAGAATGTGATCTGCCGATTTACCCTTGACTACTGGAAGACAACGTCGGAAGTGTCTGCCGAATATAGTGGCGCGATCCATTCCACTGGTCACGATCGGTGGACCTTCAGTATCCGCCTGGCGGATATGGCTAACCTCGAGACGAAGACTCTGTATCTCTGCATCCGTTACAACGTGAACGGCCAGGAGTACTGGGACAACAACAACGGTGCCAACTTCCAGGTCGACTTCCACAAGAAATACTTGCCCCAGAACGGCAAGCGGGGATTCTTAGGCGCCGGTACCAGACCCGCTGGCGAGTTGCCGCGCAGCAGCCGCCGACCTGACGCCAACATCCAACAACCCCGCCCGAAGTCGATGCCAGTCGGACTATCTAGCCATCTCATCGACCAAGCCAGGCGCACACTTGATAAGTCGAGGGACGAGTTTCTTGATGACCACGGTCCGATCCGGCTCAAGAAGTCGAGCTCTGATTTCCAGGACAGCAGCTCAAGCTCTCGAAGCAGCAATGCCTTTGGAAGACGCTATGACTTCAACGCCTCTCTGAACGAAGCAAAGCAATCCGCCAAGACCAAGGATTCCAGGAAGCTAGTCAACCAGCCAGCTGTTCCCTCGACACTCTCGACCAAGCCTCCACCACTCCTTCATTCTGAAAACCACGACTCGCCTAAAAAGAAAGATTATACCTATGATGAGATCGTCAACAGGTTCTGCTTTGTACGTACACCCCCCGGCGGCCGGATAGCTGCATCGACTTCGAGGCCGAATTGGTCGTCATGACCTTTCAGTACGGTCCAATGAAGGATTACGTCGGGAGCGAATTCACTAACCTGGTTCAATATTCGTGGTCAACAGTATGGTTCGAAGCAAGCACAGACGGCTTCTCAGCCTAAAGCACCTAAGGCATCCGCAGGAAGGTTGAGCGGCAGTGCCGATGCCAGCGAGCACTACCATCACGTCTCTGCGACCCCGGAGCGTCGTGCGGGGCCACGAGACGCCAACCACACCAACACCGCCGTTCTCGCCTTGTCGACGTCACCTCGATCTGACTTTTCGCCAGGGGGTGACGGCTTCTTCAGCCCTTCCCTCCACGCTGGATCTCCCATTTCCAGCCTCTCACCCAGAGCCGGTACGTCCCCGGTCAGCCTGGCTTCACATCACCACACCCAGCGCCATAACCGATTTCCCTTCAGTGCCCAGACACACGCCGCCACGGCTATCCATGGCTAGGATCAGAACAAAAGGCTGATTTTCTCGAAGCACGGGTCGCGCTCTAAGTGAAATGTTTCCTACAATGAGGTCTCCGTGGCCGTCTGGAAGAACCGCACCAGACGATCGTGTTCTCAGTTCGATTCGTTGTATTTTTACACAAACCTACAAACCTACGCACGCTGCGTTACATACTTGGCGTTTGTCCTATTTCGGGTGACTTGTTCTGCTCTTGAGTTGCAGATTGACCCCTACATTGGCGCCCGACTTTCTTCACTCTCAACTTTTCCGTTTGGCGTTCGGTTTTCACTCATTGTGTTTCTGCAATCGTTTAAAGACGGCCCCCATTTCTCTCTTGGTTTTCTGTTTCTGGGAACGTCATTGGGCATTTTGTTGTCTTTACCTCTTTATCCTATTGTCGGTGCCCAGACCTTCTGACTTGTCATTTCGAGTTCCGCATCTCTTTCCTCTTCATTCATCCTCGCCGAGAGGCCATTGTTGACTTTGGGGTACCTTTCTCGCATAACAGAAGCAGGAGCTGATGACATGACGATGACATGGAGCGGGTAAAAGTGGCATCAAACGGGAGTTAATATTGTTCAGTTTTTCTTCTTTTTTCCTCATGAGTCTTTCGTTTCCTTTACACATGGGTTGGCTTAATCGGAATGGTTCTGGATTATTTGGGGTATGTCTTTTCTTGGCCTGGCCTGGCGTTTTGCTCTTTCGTCTTTGTGTTCCTATCCATATTCATTTTTCCTACTGTCTCTGACCGGCCGCCGTGGAGTTTTCGTCATTCTTTTTTCCTCATGGCGTATTGTTTATTGGGTCGTTGTTGCTTGGTTCTATTGGAAGCTGTTTGGTTTTGCAGGAGTTACAAGCATGGTACACAAAATCCGTTTGAGTATACAATTAAGTGGTATGGTTAGCTACTTGGCTTTAGAAGGATACGAAACTTGGGAATTGGGAAATTCATTGGGCTTTTCTTTTTTTTTCGTCGGTGGATTGAAATGAATCAATTGTTGTTTTTGGCGGTTCTATTCTTGCTGTTTCTTGCCTCTCTCCTCTCTCTCTCTCGTGCGTGTGCTTTTGTGAAGGAGTTTTCTGTTGACGCGGGCTGTGCCTTGGTGAAAGAGAAGGTGTGAGCTTCACGGGGAGATTGTTGTGTTTGTGTTAGTTAGCGACTTCACCTACAAGAGACCTCGAGTTTTTGAGTCCAGGTTGCGTTTAGTTCAGTTCAGTTCCTGATTGATGTTGGTTAATGTTGGTTAATATTTTTCTTCTCAAGACTTAGGGTCACGGTTCTCGAGAGGCCTTGGTATAATCAGCCGATTACCGCCCTACGGTTTTAATGGCGTCTTCGGCCGAGGCGGGATGGTTTTCTTAAGGTTCAAATGACGGGTTGCTTTAGATACCTAAATATAGACATAGATTCTCAATACTTGATACAGATCAACTCTGTTGTGATTCTAGATTGTGGTTCGTAGCGCCCTTAGAGGTAACGACGAGTTACCCTCTCGTCCGAAAGAGATCTTCTCGTCGCCGGGATGATAGCATATGTTTCCGACAATGGCGGTCGCGAGAATAACCTTTCCTCGACTCCCTTTTGTTTCCCCGCCCCGCCTCGCTTCAGCAGCCCACAATTGCCGCCTCCTTTCCTCCTCTCCCCGTTAGTTTACGGCGACGGGGAATTATGTTGCACGAGGGCTCCGCGCAAAGTCAGTTCAAGGTCCCGATTCTGCCGGTGACAAACTGCCTGATAAAACCGGAGAAGCCCGAGACAAAACAATATCGCCTGTTCAATAAATCGGGGTTCTCGCAGCCAAGGGAACGCGAGGGGGGTGCGCGAATTCGAGAATTGGATTCGATGCTAACAAGAATCGCAAAAAGGCTAATCGGAGCATCAGTCGCATCACTGCATGTGTTTTTGCGGAGAGATAAGTCCGGGGAATGGATGATGTCACGCGATGAAGAGGGATCCCGGGGGTTAGATCGGAGGAGGGATTATCGGGCGAATGAAATGAGTGGGATGGATTCATGGGGATTGATGGTGAGCTGTGACTCGTTGGACGAAGGGAGCTGATATGGCTGGTTTTGGGGGGGACGAGGCAACCAACAACACGATGCGCTCGGGTTCTAGAAACACCTCAAGTGTGAAGTACGAAGTACAGTGGACAATGTTGATGTACCATCCGCATCCACTCTGATAACGGCGGCAGGGTCTTGGGGGGACTTGAGACGGGGGAATGGAGAATGATGGAACCCACAATTGCAGCCAAGCTATCGCTGAGCGTTAAGCTCAGCTCTAATAAGCGGGGCTTTGATTGCCTGCAAGGGTTGCAATCTCGCGAGATAAGACTACTTCGTTTCAAGAAATGGTTGCGTTTCGATGCTCTTGCTTCTTATCATCGTTAAGCGAAGTCCTTCGTAGGAGCGATTCCATGATTCCTCCATCTCACCAAGGTCATGCTATACCCCGCGACGAGAAAGGGATTACCCCTCGAAGCCAAGAGAGCTGCCTAGTCAATCCCGTTCGACTTCATCCTCGGGCGGAAGACCCTGCATGAAGGAGGGTTGGTTGCCTTGCGACCGTAAAGGTTGATGGTTTCGGCAGGTAACTTCGCGCGCAGGAAGACTGCAGAGATACGAAGGATGAGTCGAAGCTGTGGAATGGAAGTACCTTTGTAGGTTCCAGATTGGGATGCAGTTGCTTGTTGGAGTCATCAATGAAGGTGTGCTATTTCGAAGAAAGCGAGGCCGTTGGAGTGGAAATTGGCGAATGAGACTGCTCATCAAGGGCGTTGGGCTTAGCGAGATTTCAGTGTTGACTCTTGTCCATAAGCAGAAGCACGAGCTTAAATCCACTTTTGGCGGAATTTGAATCGCTTAGCAGGGATTCGATGACTCCATCGAGACAGAGATCGCAAGAAAGACTTCGTAAGCGGACGTGGGAATGGAAGCGACAGGCATTGGTTCGGCGGGCGGGCGAGCGGGCGGGCTGGCAGACAGTGCGTGCCAGTGACCACTGTGGGAGCGCTGAAACAGCTTGGGCAATGCACTGTGGGCGTCCTGCGGGGCCTCCGCTGAGCGCGTATTCCAGTGGTGTTCACGGGCGTTTTAGTGGATGTTAGGGGCGTGGCGAGAGCACGACCAGGCTGTGCCGCGTCCCCCCTGCGCCTCCCATTTCTTGCCTCGTTTCTTGCACGGAGCAGATGACTGATGACGTCCATGAGTCACGCCTCGCCGGAAGCGTCATTTCAGGCGGTCATTGGCAGCACACCGTGCTCCTCGGCACCGCAAGGGTCTCGATCTCCATGTCGACGTTATCCCCTTTGGGAAATTCGGGGTCACGATGGGGGGACCTGGCCTATCCAGGTCACCATCCGGGTCCAGCCGGCAAGCACGGTAAACGGTTAACAGTAAACAGTGAACTGTGAAGGTCCCTTTGTCTCTTTGTTGTAAGTCAACGCCCCTATTCCTCTTCCCGAGGAATCTTGGTCATTCCATCCATCCCCCCTTCAGCCTTTCTGATTCCTTTATTAGTACCATCCATCCCCTTCTAGTCTTGGTTGCCTTGTCATCCTCCTTTTGCCCCCGGACTAAACTACTTATATATCAAGCCTCGCCCTCTGCTCCTGTGGAGAAGTATTCCGAGAGTTTACCGTTTCGCGACATACTCCAAACCTTATTACACACATCTCTCACCTCTCTCATCTGGGAAGCTTTACCTCTTCCGACTGGTTGATAACGTCATCTCCGGACCAACGCCTTTTCCGGAAACCTTCCATCCCATATAATCCTACTCTCTTACTCTTCCTCCAACAACATGGCCCCCGTCATCTCCCACCACTCTTTCTTCCTCGACCGACACACTCCCCTCCGACAGACCAGCAACCGCTTCCAACCCCTCGCAGACATGGTCGATCACGACGCCTCCATTGCCCGCTCCTCTCCTGCCGCAGACATCCCCTCCAAGAAGCGGACATCACGGAACACTCCCCGCGGTCATGCGCGCAGGAAATACGCCAAGCGGGCTACGCTAGGTGCCCGCGCTAATCTCGCCGAAGGCATCGACATCGCCCACTCCGAGGTGCCCCTGCCCTCCGAGCATCGCCACGTTCGCAGCCGCGGCCCCACGCTTCTCCTCGATAGCGACGAGGAGGCCGATGTCTACGAGATGTCCCAGGAAACCGTCGTGAGCTACGATCCTCATGTCGAGGCCATGCTGCCCGGAGACCTCACCCTCGATAATCTACCCCGACCGAGCCCGCCTTTCACAGTGAGGGTGAAGCCCAAGCCCGTCAAGCGAGAGAAGCACGTTGTTCTCGATGACGATGACTGGGATGTCGTGTCGAATGCGTCTGAGGAGTCTTTTTACATGGTATAAGTGATGAGAAGTTGGAGCTTTTCTAACGTGTAATGATGGCTATATTCTCTTGTACGCATTAATTTTTTGGCTTTGCTATTCTGGCACAACACTTTAGTATCATCGGACGGATTTATCAACTTCGGGTGGGCTTGTTACTTGGTTCCCTTCTGGTAGCGAGCGAAGGACCTTGGGATTCATTTGATCTTTTTGGCGCATGCGAGTGCTTATCTTATTCTCCGCGGGCTTATCGCCGGATTCGGATTTGATGCTGGTTCGCGAGGATTCCTCGTGGACCCAGTTTCCTGTTTGCTATCTTTTGCTTCTACGCAAGTTATTTAGTTAACGCATTTTGGCGTGTGTATTAGAGGCGCTGCGCAACGCCAATATACTACATAAACTCCCGAGGCACTTTCTCTCTTTTATCCTCTCTTTCTCGATTCTCTTCTTTTCCTTCCTTCGCGTCTCTTTATTTTGGCTAGAATTTTCTTTGAGATCTGTCCTTCTGAGCAATATTTCGAGACTGTTCGTCATGTTCTCATGAACAAAGTCAGCTGAGCGAGTCAGATGCCGTTTTGAGAGACTGACAAGACAAGATGGATCTTCCACCAACCACAGCTGTAAAATAGCGCACCCATTCGCTTCTCGTTTGCAAGAACTGCGCTTCGCCGCGTAAACTATTGATGCTTCGTACTCACCTGTCCCTTGATGGTCCTCCTTCACATTCATTCAAAAGGGTAGTCATTGATACCGCTTTAACTCAGACGATTTCTTCTCGAGGGTATGCACTTATCGCCATTTGGCGGGGTACCCGTTCCTGAATAGTTCTGCCGTGGTTCACCCACATTAGCTTCATGCAAGCGACCACTTAGTTTTTTTCTCAATGGACATCAACAACCCGCCCCGGTAGGACTGGTCGCCTTGAAGCAAATCTTCTCCCTCCAGGTACCATGAGAACCAGCCTTGCCCTGTTCTCAAGATGGTCGCCAACACGGGTACTGAAGCGGACTCCCACGTCCCTGCCAATCCCACGTCTGAACAGCCCGCTTCCAAGTCAATTGGCGCGGAGGAATCTGCACCTGCTTCAGATGCTGCGAAGGCTTCTGGCGCCGATACAAACCAGCAGAAGCGAGAGCGAGATGGTCGATCGTATGTCCCTTCACTCTTTAGAATCTCTGAATCGTGTGCGATCGCATCAATTGCGTCCGCATACGTATCATCTCTCGTCATTCTTTCATGCTGCACAAATGCCGACGCGACTAACCAGCAGCATCTAGCCGGGCGCAACAAAAACGCAAGCGCAAGGCCCCGCTTCCCGACCGCTTCAACAATAAGAAGAAGAAGCTCGAAGACGCCGGTTCCACCCCCGACGGCGTAGAAATCGACGATCGAGACCGGGCTCCCCGCAAGCCAAGGGCGAACCCTTTCTCCGCCGAGGAGATCGCCGCCGAAGAGCGCCGGCCCAAGAAGAAGGTTGCCGTGCTATTCGGCTACTCGGGGACGGGCTACCGAGGCCTACAAATCAACAACGAAGAAAAGACGATAGAAGGCGACGTGATGAAAGCCTTCATCGCTGCGGGTGCCATCTCCAAGGCCAACGCCGACGACCCGAAGAAAGTAAGCCTCATGCGCTGCGCCAGAACGGACAAGGGCGTGCACGCGGCGGGCAACGTTCTTAGCCTGAAGCTCATTATCGAGGACGAGGACGTCGTGGAGAAGATCAATTCGCATCTGCCGCCGCAGATCCGCGTGTGGGGGATCCAGAGGACGAATAAGGGCTTTAGCTGCTACCAGTCGTGCGATTCGAGGTGGTATGAGTATCTGCTGCCGAGCTACTCGCTCCTGCCGCCGCATCCGGATAGTTTTCTGGGGCAGAAGATTGCGCAGTTTGCGGGGGAGAAGGGGGTAGTTGAGGAGTTGAGGGAGAAGAATGCTGATGTGGGCAATTTTTGGAGGGAGGTGGATGAGACTTGCATTCGGCCTATTCTGGAGAAGCTGGATATTGAGATGAGGACGGCGGTGCTGGATAGGTTAAAGATTAATATCGACATACCGGTAAATGATGCGACAAAACCCGCAGCGGAGAGCGCGGCCCCGGTGGCCACCGGTACTACATCCGATGCCCCCAAACCTCCTTCCCCGGCCGCCGACCCCGTCCCAGCGGACCCGACCCCCAACGAAGACGGCTCCCCCTCTGGAGAGGGCTCCTCGGACAATGCCGCCAAAGACACAACCAGCTTCGCCCAACGCGAACTCGGCCCCGCAGACTTCGCCCTTCGCGATATCAAGCTCGCCTACGTCGCCGCCAAGCGCCGCTTCCGTATCTCCCCTCCCCGCCTACAACGACTCCAGTCCGCCCTCAACGCCTACCTTGGCACGAACAACTTCCACAACTACACAGTGCAAAAGTCCTTCAAGGACCCCTCATCAAAGCGCCTCATCAAATCCTTCGTCGTCAACCCCAACCCCGTCATCATCGGCGACACCGAGTGGCTCTCCCTGAAAGTCCACGGCCAGTCCTTCATGATGCATCAGATCCGAAAGATGGTCGGCCTCGCTACCCTCGTGACCCGCTGCGGAACCGATCCGGCTATCATTACCGAGACGTACGGCGCCGCACCTATCGCTATCCCCAAGGCACCGGCGCTGGGTCTCTTATTGGAACGACCCGTTTTTTCGAGCTATAATGCGAAGGCTACGGGGACGCTTGAGAGGGAACCGATTGATTTTGAGAAGTACGATGATGTTATTGAACCGTTCAAGAGGGAGCACATATATACGCGCATCTTCGAGCACGAAGAGAGGGAGCATACGTAAGTCGCCCTCCCCTACTTCCCGCGACCCCTTTCCCTTTGGGAGAATTAAAATGCTAACGGAGAATAATGGTATAGATTCCACAGCTTCTATCAGCAGATTGATAGCTTCCGAAGTAACTTCTTCCTCTGGATCACGCCCGGAGGCATTGCTGCTGCGAAGTTACGTCAAGGCTTTACGGAGGAGGATGCCGCCGAGGATGAGAAGCTTATGAATAAGCAGCTGGGCGATGAAGATGATGAAGATGTTAACCCCGAAGAAGGGGAGGGCTGAAAAATCATGGTGCATTAGCAGTATATGTTTAGAGGGCGCGGTTTGAGAGGGATACTCACGCGCCTACGTAGATACGGGGTTGTCAGTTATACCAAGGATTGATGCTCCATAAGAGGGCGAGTATATGTGCATTACTTCCCAAGCATCTACATAAGCGGCGCATATTGTCTTAGAAGAAACTATGCGCAGTAACACCATAGGATCTACAAGGAATGAAACGCAGGCCGGAAAAGTAATCCGAATTTCAATTTTTTTGTTTCAACTCCCTCCCACTAGCAACTTTGATTATACACATATTGAGCCCGATATCCCGCATATAACTCTTTCCCGCGCGGAAACTATAGACCCAGCTCCCGAATCTAAGCCCAGTTGATAACAATATTATTCGATTCCATCCTTCCACAACCTCCTAAATCGATATATGTCCCCTTCACCATCCAGCACTGTTTAACTCCCACTATAGGCTTAAGAAAATATTCGGAAGATTTGAGAAAGGTGGCCTAATGGCTAGCCTGGTGCGTGGCCGACTGCAGGTAACCCAGCAAGAAACTTCTGTCGGCGGGAGAGATGGGCGTCCCGCTTCCCCGACGCGAATCGGGCGCAGGCACCGTCGTCGTGGCGGTCGAAGTGACGTAACCTGCGCCGGGCGTAATCGATCCGCTATGATATTCGACCGAGGGACGTTTGACGACACTGACGTGATCGGGGGTTGATTCGTCAACCGGGGGTGGAACGACCTGAGGCTGGCCGAATAGGGATAGTAGTTTCTGCTTGTGCTCGGGTGACGCGACCTGCTGTTTCTGGAACACGGGTACGGGGAGAGACGTAGGTGCCGGCGGACTTGCCAGGCCAGCGGGGACGGCCTGCGCAGGATCGTAGTAATATGAATAATTGGAAGCAGCGGCAGCGGTGGGTCGTTGGTGGATCTTTGGTGAGGCCTGCTCTTGACGGCGGAGCAATTGCATTAGAGGCTGCGAAGAACCACTGCTCGATACACGTGGCGCGGCCTGTTCGCGACCCTGGCTACGAGGCGACTGATAAGGCTTCGATGAGGGGCTGCCAGATTGGTCGCGCAGGGAGAGGTTGGCCATAGGGATACGAGGGCTCGCCCCCACGATGGAGCCCGGCTTGCTGTGCGACCCGGAACCAGACGCGGGACGGCCAAAGTTGGCGGCTCGAGGCGAGGTATTCGGATCCGTGCGCTTGAACATATCCAATAATGCCGAACGGTGCTTTTCGTTGACGGAGCCTTGGTTGCGAACGGCAACACCCTGGGGTCCGGGGTACGAGGAGTACATAGCCGTCGGCATTTGAGGATTCGCGGCGGGTTGATAGGGTTTCGAGGCAGCGTAGACGACCTCCGGCGCCCTCGTCGACTCATAATCGGAGGTGGGATACGGCGGGGGGTTGCGAATCTCGGTCGGCTGAGGATTATGCGAAGCTGGCTGTTTGAAGGCATCCAATAATGCTTTTGAGTGGTCGGTCAGAGGGCCTCCCGGTGGCCGGGTTTGAGTCACTGAGTAGCCAGGGTAAGGGGCCTGTTGAGGCACACCACGTGGTGCGCCTTGCGGACCCGGAGGGCCGTTGATTAGAGTATGCGGAGATGGGGTAGTATAATTGAGTACGCCAGTCTTCTGTACATGTGGAGGGAGAGGTTGGGGATGCACGAGGGTGGGCTCGTTCGGCTGCGGCTGCAGGAAACCAGGGACTTGCTGGTGATGCTGAGGCTGCATCGGCGGGCCGTTTCCAAGTTGGGCATTGGGATATTGTTCCGGTGTCCAGTGACCCTGAGTCTGGGGGATATGAAATGCGGGCGGGGGGTAATCCTGGTTAGCAAGCGGAGGATGTTGAGCAGGGTGGTGGTGAGGACTGCGTGGTTGCTCGGGATTCGCAATGACATGGTCAGTAGGTGTATGAGGAGCTCGGGATTGACCGCCCGGTACAGAAACCTTGGATTGAAGCAACGCCAACAATGCGCCTCCTTTGTCTTGCTCGGGAGATGGCTGGCTCGGTATCTGCTGTTGCAACCCTTGGGTAGGCGGTTGCATCTTAAGCAACCGCTGCAGCTCTCGAGTCGCACCCTCGAGGGCATCAAGATCCGGACCGCCCTGAGCAGCCTCCGGCCGCGTCCAGGTATAATCTTCAACGGCAGCCTCCTCAGGAACAGGTTCGGGTATAGCATATATCTCGTCCCGGGCCCGGCTGGCGTCCCTCTTCTGTTGCTGGACAATCCACTTCTTCAGTGGGACAAGGAAAGGCGCAACCATGTAAAACTTGTTCGCGTTGGTAGCGGCGTTTCCGCCGTCGCTGTGGTTTCCGTGGCCCTTCTTCCGGAATGCAGGAAGCTCCGACAGCTTGTACCATTGGATCTTACTAATTTCCTTCCTGGTACGAGGCTGGAAGCGAGTGTCCATGGGTACATTGCGGAAGACGTAGAGGCGAATTTGCTGATCACGCATAGTAACCTCGATGAATTTGGTCTCTTTTTGAGAAGCGACTAGACCAGCCTCGCGGATATCGAACCCCGTCTCTTCATACACCTCGCGGATAGCACAGTCGAGATCGTCCTCGTCTTTGTTGATCTTCCCCCGCGGGAAGCTCCAATTCGCGCCCTTCTTCCAGCCGCGCACCAACAAAACCGAGTCCATCTCTTCATTTAACAGGATAGCGCCGCGCACGGGCACACGGGTCTTGTACTGAAGAAACTCCTCAAAGGCCTGAATATGCACGCCGACGGGGAAAGTTGTGAGTAGAGGGCAGTGCTGAAATATCCGTAGACAAAACGTGCGAAGAGACATCGAAGGTAGGGTGGGGTCGAGAGGGCGGATGAAATCCTCGTAAAACCATTGGGCTTCCTCGACTTGGAAACATATCCTGGGAACCGACGATAGATCTTCCTGAGGTAGGTTGATGATGAAGCGGACGCAGAGGTCGTCCAACCCTAGAGTCGGGGATTGTCAGTATCTGGTAGAGCCATTCTTCTGTAACAGAGAGATAGAGAGAGTAGCGTGACTCTCTAATTCTCTGCAACCTGGGTTGGATGGGTTTCGTACAGTCTTCTAACTGCATTTTTGTGTCCGACATTGTGTCGTCGCCAGGAACATGTCCCGACTTGGTTGGAGGGGGAGGAAAGACGGATGCACAGGGCCCGTGTCGAGTCAACGATGAGGGGTACTCGAAGATGAGCGTAGAGACGTTGGGTGGGGAGGGCAGTGATGTTAGGCGCAAATCAACGGACAGGTGAGGTTAGGCGGGCGACAGGCGTCGAGGTATTGATATCAGGTCGGTTCGCGGAGACACGTGGTGGGCGGTGGCGGGGGAAGGTCGAACAGATATGGTGCCGTCGAATGAATCGAATGAATCGGTAAAAGGGATGTGGAGATATCCGCTGTCGGAATGAAATGGGATGGGATAGATGGGAAAGCGGAGAAGTTAGAGTGGACAGAGGCAATATCGAATGCGATGTAAGCTTGCGCGCAAATGTCGGGATATGACAATGGGGAAACTGGGCCAGACAACGGGATCTGACGAGTGCAATTGTGACAACTCCCCGCCAAAATGGAGCTCTGTGCTTTCCTGCTGCTTCCCTCGCTGACGATTGAGAATCGAGCACGTTGTCGCGCAGTACAGTGCAATCTGCGAGATTTGTTTGGAAAACCACTGTATTGTGGCGGCACCTTCCCCAAGTGTGGCGAGTGTCCCCCCACCGGCAACGCATGTGAAACGCAACTTCTCAATCGTGCCCGTGGCAATCACTGCGGCATCAGGGCGGAAGGCGCGACCTGTCACCATGACTAGGGGAGGGAGCCGGGGTGGCTGAGCCAGGACCAGGAAGTTTATGCGAGTAAACCACGAAGTACTGTAGTACCATGAAAGCCCATTAATGCTTGGTAGATGACTCGCCTGTTTCTACCACTGAGCTACCAATTACATCACTCTGGCTCTCGTCACCAAGACAATTCATTCCCTGGAATGCGTGGGTGATGCGCCATCAAGATTCAGCTGCGACCGTGAACATGCTCAACGGAGGCCTGAATGTACTTGTATTAGTTCGATGTTCATCTCGAATCAAGGAAACTACAGTAGATAAAAAAAAAACCGGCTGCCAGTCGTCCCTTGCTCTCTCTCCTTCTTCCAAGTACGCTCTTTCTTTCTTTCTTTCTTTTTTGAACAACTCGTTTTGTTTTATTCTACCTCGCCTTGAGCTCTGTCGGCTGGTCCAGTCTCAATCAAGTGTCTCAATCAAGCCCAACTTAGAGGTGCCCCTGAAACAGTTGAACCTTAGCCAGTCGGCACGAGCCGACCAAGAAACTCACCACCAAATACATACTTATTGAGTCCTTCATCCAGTTTTCAAATTGAGAGAAAGAGGATATCTCTTGCAATTCACTCTTTATCCCTCGTCGGATTCCTTTGAAGCTCCCCGCCAAAATGACGAGCATGATCGCCACTTTTATCGGCAAGAGGATTCTTGCCGAATCCGTCCAAAATCAGTTTGGCACAGAGGTAATTGATATCCTCAATATACGTTATACTGGCGTGGATACTAACTGGACTGTTCTCCCTTCAGGACCCCTATTTTGAAACTGTGCCCGCAACCAGGCTTGACGGCACTCCCAACGGCAAATTCAAGAAGCGGAGAAAGGCCCTGCCGCCAGGTATCTCCAAGCATGACGGCAAGGTATTGACCAAAGTTAAGAGACGGGCTTACCGGCTTGATATGTCTCTCTTCAACTGCTGTGGCATCCGGTTCGGGTGGGGAAGCGCGATTGGACTCATCCCTGGGTAAGTCTCCTTAGACAGAGCTCACTGGCGCGTGATACAAGACACTAACAAATTGACACAGCATTGGTGATGTCTTGGATGCGCTCCTAGCTCTCATGGTTCTGCGTACCTGCACGAGCGTCGAGGGCGGTCTCCCTACTTCACTTAAGACCAAGATGATGCTCAACATCATCTTTGATTTCGCCATTGGCATTGTTCCCTTCATCGGCGATATCGTCGATGCCGCTTTCAAGGCGAATACTCGAAATGCGGCTCTCCTCGAGGCCCATCTCCGTGAAAAGGGCAAGAAGGAGCTTCGGAAGAGCGGCTTACCAATCCCGGAAGTTGACCCCAGCCTTCCCGAAGAATTCGACCGAGCCCAGCGGGAGCCGTCGCCCGAGTACACTGCTAGCCAGCCCCGCCCTCAGGAGAGGATGACGACCGGCACCAGACAGAATGGCCGCAGCCAGAGAACCCCTACCGCTCCTGCCCCTGCCAGGGTTCGCAATGAGGACAGCCGTGGACGCGGTTTCTTTGGTGGAAGGTCTCGCCCCACCGATGTTGAGATGGGCGAAGTCGACCGTAACTTGACCGCTTCGTCGAGGACCAAGAAGCAACGTCGGTGAAGGGTCAACGACGGAACCTACTTAACATTCAAGTTTGTCATTTGCTTGCCGAGACTGAGTCTACTAAAACAAGCTGTTCTCATACGACCTTTTTTAGCATTTATTGTTTTTAATGGAGGGTTTCCTTTCTTTGGAATGTTGGGTCATAGATTATGATGGATTTGAAGATTTTTAATGTATGCAGGATGCAGGTTCATACACGATGACCTTCTTGATATGACCATATAGGATTGAGCTTCTTTCTTGTTATGAAATGAAAAAGAGTTAACTTGGAGGAAATAAAAGGACGTTCACACTAGAAATCACCACACTCATGTAGGATTAGACTAAGTTATCAATACCAGATACAATTTGCCCCATCTTTGTTTTCATTAAGGACCCTGTTGACCAAGTACCTAGAATATAACTTCATCAACGCAAGTGGCCAGATAGCTAAGTCCACTCATATAAACTTGACCTACTCAACCACCATGTCACTGCCCATACTGACCATACCTTTTCTTGGGAGCTGGGAAGCAGAACAGCTAACTTGATATGTCGCAATAAGAAATGCTACTCTGCTGTTAGCAGGTCAGGCCTTACTCGCCTCAGCCTCGGAGGCATTTGGTGTGGGTATTACCTTGATCCAAGCGACGACTCATCAAGTCAAGGGGATCACAACTTCTCTCACGCAAAGATCCCCTTTAAGATATCTGTTCACGTAGCCTCAAGCTCAACGCAGGAACCCTTTGCCCTAATCACCACAATGAAAATTTCATCTATTTAAGCCCAGCCATGGCCAAGGGTTGTTTATCTTTCTCTTCCCACACATCCACAAACCGTCCTCGACTCAAAGAGTCAAGTCTACCTACCACGACACCTCATTTTATCATCGATCGTATCCAAAATGGATGCAAACAGCCCTCCTGACGACCGTGACGACAATGGCTCGGGAAATGAGGAGGACACCAACGTAGGTAACGTCCCAGTCTGACGCCTCCCTCTCGTGATCGTGAGGGCGCTTCTAACGTCGGTTTCAGTCAACCAACGGGGACTTTGATGGGTTGAAATTCTTCCCACCTCCTGATGCTAGCATCAGCGGTACCGCCGCTGTTGACGATGATCCGCGTTTCTATGGCGCCGTGATTTTCGGTGATTTTAGATTTCTCGATAAATCTCGCCCTGCCGACGATGCTCAGTTTATCTCTGATTACCAGGCAGCCCACGGCCACCACCCCGGCTGCTACAAATGCCTGGAGTGGTTCATCAATTGTGATGCTGACGGCCACCTGTCCGGTTGGTGCCGAAGGGAGAACGGTGAGTGAATCCCGCAATGACAATTCGCGTCTCTCTTGGGGATGGAAGAACGAAAATAGACTGATAACCGGTATCGCGTACCCAGAGTCTCATTCCAAGTGCATCCATTGCATTCATAGGCAGCACAGGACTTGCCGCCCCGTTCGTATCCGACAACTTCGCTACTATGCGGACCTCTTTCAAGAGGTTTTGACCGCTCCTGTTTTCAACAAGGTAAACCATTCATCCCGGGTGGTGACGGACGCTCATATTTCTTACTGACACATGATACTCCCATTTCCAGGAACGTTTCAAAGCCATCCAGAGGGACGCCAGGGCCTTCTCCAGAGCTCCCGATGCCCCCCCCGAGAATTGCGAGGGCTAGCGGCTTCAGGGGTGCCAAAGTTTAGAGATGAAGACGGGTCTGGGTAGGAAGAGGAAGAGGCGATGACGAAAGAGTTCAAAAAAGGGAATGCGCGTAATCCAAGTGACCTCCCCAATATAGAACGGTATCGAGACGAAATTTGATAGAAATGACCTGTGTTTGTAGATCGTAGACTAAAGTCGAGAGACCCGCTGCCTGGCATATTCATCCTCCGGACCTTGGATATGCGTCTCCCCTCTTCTGGAAGCCGGGAAACCAAGAAACCGGGGTGTCTGGCTAACATATACCGCTCCACCCATGCGCCGTAGCTTGTGCCATAAACCACTAGTGGCCTTAGTTATGCTGCTGGCCGCAGAGAGGGCCCAGGATCGTGGATGTTGGTACGGGAGCAGCCTTGTCATTCCTCATCGATAGGCTGGCGAAGAACCGCGTCAAGATGATGGCTGCAGGAGATGTCGACCCGTTTCAGGGCCTTGGGACATGGATCTGATGCATCTGCATGCCATGCGGGTCGGTAATCGCGGCGGCGAGCCAATGAGATGGCTTATGGCCTTTCGGATCGGGCTGGTTACACGCGCTTCCTCGAACTGCCCAGGTCCCCGGAATAGATATCGAAGCCATTTCAGGGGAGGCTTCTCAGATTAAAGGCATGATGCAGAATGGAGACAAAACTATGTACAAGGAGGTCATAACTTGCTTGAAGCTGTTTCCACAAGATATCGCTTAAATCGTTAAATCAGATTGAATTAATCAATTCACAAATTTGTGCTAATGCTAATCATTAATGTAATTGGAGATGGGAACATCAACTTATTGCATAAATGCATAACCCCGGAATCAAAATTATCGTAAGCGCCCAAGAAAAATGAAATGTCCTCTTCGCCATTTCGCCAACACCAAATCAAGCAAAGCACCGCCTCCCGAGTCCTCCTTCACGCACTCTCACGTCCCACTTCCTCATCGATCCTTAGAAGTATTCGTAGAGGCCCTCAAAGTGCTCGCCACAATACCCCGTAAGCTCCTTCTTCCCCTCCTTCTTGCACCCCCAAACCCTACACATATGCGCCTTGCAAAACCTCGAAACGTGATACTTCTCAACAACATCCGGTTTACTTCCATGCCTCTTGGTGCCAACCCTCGCGGCGTCCTCCCCCTCGTAGACCAACTTCGTAACAGCCCTGCGATGGATGCACTTCCTCGACGCGCAGCCGTGGTGCTCGCAGTATCCGTCCCACGTCCGCGAAGGCTCGACGCAGTGCTCGTTGCGGCACGTGTCGTGCTTGCAGTAGGCCGAACCGGCCATGCGGGGGTTGCCGCAATGGAAGCCGCATTGCTTGGACACGGTTTCGTAGTAGCGGACGGGGACGGCGAAGGCGCGGGGGGACTTGAGGACCGGTGGGGCTGGGTAGTAGGGGGAGTACGGGGAGTAGTAGAGGGGTTGCTGGACGCTGGCGCGTCGGTAGGGGGTGGTGGGCTGAGAGCGGGAGGCGGGACGGGGGGAGTTGTTGGCAATGTGGATGTCTAGGCTCAAGTTGCGGGCTGGCTTGTAGGCGGACTTTCGGTCGGGGATTTGGGCAAAGGTCACTGTTGGCGACATTTTTCTTGTCGTTCTTTTCTTGGACTGATTTGGGTGACAAAGGAGGCAGATAGTATGTAGGTGAGAAGTAGACGGCAGAGTATGGTTTGAACTTTAGAAGTCAAGATCCAGTCTTGATGGTGTCAAAGGTAGTCAGAGATATTAGAATTGGACTAAGAGAAGGGTATCTTGGATGATCTAGTTGCTTGCTCGAAGCTTGAGATTTACAAAAACTAGAGGGAGATATCTCAGTCTTTTATGTTCTTTTCTCTCCTCAACAACTGCCTCCTAAACTGTTCTGGCCTCGGCTCCCATCCATTTTCGTTCATGATGTCTATTCTTGGACGGACCCGACAGTCTGGATATTGGTGCTCTGCTGAAACGCAGGGCGGTCGTGGATTTGGGCCAAAAGTCGTGAGCCAAGGGCGCTTATAAGGAATTGACCTCTAATCAACGCCTCAACCGGGCTTGGAAGGTCCCCCTGCCAGCCACGACCCCATTCCGGCACCAGCTCCTGCATACTTGAAAGCGCCAAAACCGCTTAATTGATGTGTCACGAGATAAATTTAGTTTGAAAGGCATGTCGTAATGGGCGACCTCGAGCGATGCTCGCAGGAACTGGTCGTGGGATTGCGTTTCAACCAGTTTCGTGGGTGGTCGGCGAGGGGTTGACCTGCAGAAGAGTCCAATCTTGTCAATGCTTCATAGGCGCCATGCGCTAAAAGGGAAATGAATCACCTGTTAACGTCTTCTCGTCCGTCTCCCGATTCAATGTTCGCGCCGACCCTGTGGTATGGCCCAAGGTGGTGGGAAATCAGAAAGGGAAAGGAAAATCTGATTATCCAAGAACTGGGTCATGCTGAGGAATCAGAAGCGGATCCGAAGATACCCGCAAAGAGCGATTCACTGGATCCGGTGGTCGGGCTGCCAAATCTCGTGATAACGCGTCGATCTAGACACAGATGAGCTAGAGTTTCCTGGGGGATGAAAGGAAACATCAATAATATTTGTCTTTTCGGTCCAATTCCCCTCCGCGGAGAACGTGTCAAGGAACGCGAGAGGCGAGGCGGAACCGGAGCTCTGATGGAGGGGTCAAACGGTCCATCCAAGACCAGGCTCCTACACCAAACTTTAGATTCGAAGGACGGGCTTTGTAGATGACAGTATCGGGTCCGAGCTATGGATGTCTTATTTATGAGCTGATGCAGTTAGGCATGATGCCGAACCGCCGAATGCTCTCGCGATTCGGGCATCGACACGGGCTGATCAAGAGATTGATTAGATCTGTTTTTGATCAAGAAACGTCTCTGACTGGTGCATCAAGTAGATTTGGTGGTCAACAATCTGACGCCGGACCGGGGCTCAGGAAAGGAAGACCCAGCCACCTCAATCTCGAGTAAAGTAGCGTCAAGTATTCCCGTCCTTAGGATAGTGGGCGCCAGTTGTGTTTCCGCACCAGGCTGCGACGTCCTTAATCCGTATTTCCGACTTCTCAGACCAGTAGTTCCATGCTTCCATGGCTCCACTGGTGACCCCATTCACCCTGTTCGGCCGTCAACAAACAGCTTCGGGTGCATCGAGTGGAGGCGCCTCAGGCGAGACAGAGTGCTCAAACTACTGCAAGTGGAGCTGGGGTACCGACGAGGTGGTATTTCTGTGAGCTTAGTTTGGTCTACCACTTTATTTTTCACCGATGGACATCGAGTTAGGAGCAGGAAACGCGGTTTGAAGGTAGACGCGTGCAGGGGAGCTAAATGTCTTGGACTCCGAGATTCGGAAATACTTGGGCCATCTCCTTCCAGACTCGGATATACAAAATTATTACGTCCATCAACAACAGATCCGTACCATATCCACTTTCGATCAGTGCTTCACTGCTTGTGCATCATCGAAAGAGTACCTAGTCTGCAAGCTCCAGCTTAGCCTCTGATATTCACGTACAAATCTACTGACGAGGGAATGTCTGGATCAAATGGCTTCATCAAATGATGATGAATTAACCTTGGCGATCCAACCCCTGCCAGACCGCCATTCTTCGAGGACGAAAGAACTTGGCTTCGTGAAAACGCGAATGAGACTGGACCGGGAATTTCTCGACCGACAGGGAACGTAATGGTTGCCCTGTGCTCAGCTGTCCCTGGAAGCTTGGTGGCTGCAAGTAACAGACGCGTCAATCGATTTCGATGCAGGTCCTGCGAGGGGAACGGCAGCTTAATGGTGTACATGATCAAATCAATGTTAGTGGTGCTGCCACCTGTAACATTAATAGGCGATGCCCTGAAGCCTCAAGTTGGTAGCGATGCAATGATGTGCTGATCCCTGACCGCTCCCTGCAATTGTGGGCTTGGCCCCTGTTATCGAATCCAGTCGAGCCCTGAGGTCCCCACTTTATCCCACCCCCTGCCATCTCAATTCAACCCATCCACCACAAATTGCACCTTTGCACCGGGATCAACCCACTTAACGCCCTTTTTTTTCGCGCCAGAAACGCGTCCAAGTTTTCTTGCCACCCACATTACACGTCTCGGCTTCTGGACTATCACACCTGAGCACAGCTCATGGTGTATCCGCGTTCCAGTATTTAACACCTCGAACTTCCACCTCCCAACCCAAAGCTAACAGTTACCTCCATCTCCTTCACTCCCAAGCTCAACTCCTCTTAGACAAAGGCATCATCAATTGACGTCAGCCTTTTAATACTCTCTCTACCCTCTCCACCTATCTGTTTGCCTCCTTTCCACTTCACATATCCCATTTAACCCTATTCGTCACAATGGCCGACATCACCCCCTCCAAGCAGGTAAGTCGCGTCTCTACCCGACCCAATGGCTTTTTACGCGTGTTTCTTCGCGTCATTTAGACCGAGCGCTAACAAGACCCTTTCCGAACACAGGCTGCCACTGCCATTGAGGCTTTCAAGATGGAGTCTCCCGTTAAGAAGCTCAACTTCAATGCCGCCGACAAGGAAAACAACCCCGACGCCGTCGCCGTCCAGGACACCAAGTCTGTTGTCGCCGAGGTCAAGAAGGTCGAGCAGCAGCCCGCTGCTACAACCGTCAAGCCAGAAGAGGCCGACGAGCCCCTCCTCCAGGAGAACCCTCAGCGCTTCGTTCTTTTCCCCATCAAGTACCACGAGGTAAGCCAAATCGCGTCGCGTCCTATATAGCCAATTCCCCAAACGAATCCGAGCCTAACGAACCGATTACAACACAGATCTGGCAAATGTACAAGAAGGCCGAGGCCTCTTTCTGGACTGCCGAAGAGATTGATCTCTCCAAGGATCTCCACGACTGGAACAACAAGCTCAATGATGACGAGAAGTATTTCATCTCGCACATTCTTGCCTTCTTCGCCGCCTCCGATGGTATCGTCAACGAGAACCTCGTTGAGCGATTCAGCGCTGAGGTCCAGATCCCTGAGGCCCGCTGCTTCTACGGTTTCCAGATCATGATGGAGAACATCCACTCGGAGACCTACTCCCTCCTCATTGATACCTACATCAAGGAGCCCGCCCAGAGAACTCACCTCTTCAACGCCATTGAGACCAGTATGTCCCTTAATCCCTCATACAATACAAATACCTCGTATGATATCGAATCGCATGACTAATCGCTCGCATTAGTTCCCTGCATCCGCAAGAAGGCCGACTGGGCTCTTCGCTGGATTGCCGACCGCGAGGCCACCTTCGCTCAGCGCCTCGTTGCCTTCGCTGCCGTCGAGGGTATCTTCTTCAGCGGTGCCTTCGCCTCCATTTTCTGGCTCAAGAAGCGCGGCCTTATGCCTGGTCTTACCTTCTCCAATGAGCTCATCTCCCGTGACGAGGGTCTCCACACCGACTTCGCGTGCCTCCTGTTCTCCCACCTCAAGCACCGCCCCGACAAGCAGCTCATCAAGGACATCATTACTGATGCCGTCAAGATCGAGCAGGAGTTCCTCACTGAGGCCCTCCCCTGTGCCCTGCTCGGCATGAACGCGAACCTCATGAAGCAGTACATTGAGTTCGTCGCCGACAGGCTGCTCGTCGCCCTCGGAAATGAGAAGATCTACAGGTCCACCAACCCCTTCGACTTCATGGAGAACATCTCTCTCGGTGGCAAGACCAACTTCTTCGAGAAGCGTGTTGGTGACTACCAGAAGGCCGGCGTCATGGCCAGCACTAAGAGGAACGAGGAGGCTACCGTCGATGCTGGCGGTGATGGCGGCGCCTTCACTTTCGATGAGGATTTCTAAATGCTCTCACCGCCGTTCCTTGGCGCGCCATATGCGCGCGAGCTGCACAGTTTATTATTGATATCCCTATCGTTGCACATATACCACTGATCCCCCCAATGAGGTGGGATCGCTAGCAACTACACTGGGATTAGGGGACTTCGAAGCACTTTTTCTCATTTGTCGGGTTTTGTTATGGCATGGTTTCTAAAGATATGCGTACTCGTCAGTACCACATGGTTCATTCTGGCGTTAAAAGGCGGCGGCACAGCACTGGGTTTTCGTTTTTCTACTCTTATCAAACGGAGGCGGGGGAGGTATTCTGACTTGGAAATGGTTGTAGGTTGGGAGGCGGCCGGGTTTATTGTGACGACGACGAAGGAAATGTACACTACGGATTAGTGATAATAATTCACACGGATAACTTCGGGTTTCGTTCCTTCATCTCCATCACAGTGATATCTAGTATCCGCATCCCCCCGAGCATAGGTGTGATAGGCACGTTTCTTGGTTCTAGAATGCAGTTCGATAATGCTAATCATAAACGCTCGTATGACATGAATCGATTCCAAACCACGTCAACGCCCTCAATTCACACCGCCTTTCCCCCTCAGCATGCGAGTATCTATCACATCACCTCTTGCCCTTCTTCTTTTTCTTCCCACCACCACCACCCGCTTGTCCCTTCTCCGGAACCTGCGCGCCCTTACCCGCTTCCGCACCAGCTGCCGCTCCCTGCGCAGCACCCACAACCTTCTCCTCCTTCTCCGCCTCAGCCCCCTGCTGTTGCACCTCGTCCCTCGCACCCTTCAACCCCGCCATCCCCTTGCTCAACTTTCCCAGCACCTGGATAAGCCGATTCACCTCCGCCGCCTTGGTAGTCTTGTACTTCAGCGTGGCGCCGCTGACGGGGTCGAAGGTCTTGAGGGTGAGCTTTGCGCGGGGGGCGCGGGGGGCCGCGTCGGTGGCGGGGGTGGACTCTTCGGTTTGTTTTATGCGGGGGCGCTTAATGGAGTATTTTGTTGTTATGCGGGTCTACAGAGTATCTCTTGATTAGCTTTGCGTTGGGTCCGCGGAGGGAGGAGGGTAAGGTATATTACGTACGGTAGAGGGACGGGCTTCGATGAGGAGGATGGATTGGTCGAACCATTCTTGGGAGGTTTTGTAGTATTTTGTTTTCGCCATTGTTTCTTGTTTGATGGCTGGGAGGTTCGGATGCGGGAATCTCGTCGATGGGGTCTTTAGGGTTCCTCAGGAGAGGAGTCGTGTTGAGAGAGCTCGAGGATCTGGGAGTTCGGGTTGAGTAAGTCCGATTGTCGCGTGGTTGGCGGGGAGGGAAGCTCCCCAATGTTGGTGTCGAATTTGGCTGAACCCTCCAAGAGCTGTGGGGTCGATTTTCGAATCCGCCAGCACCAATTTCATCACGTGTGTGGGGTCTGTCGTCGTCAAAGGTGGTGGGTTCCAACAACGACGAGTGATAACTGATGTATAATCTACTTCATAAGCATCGCGGGCAGGGTGAAATACCAACAAGTTCCTATTGATCTCGATCAAGTCTGACACTCATTTACCATTTCGAACAACCCTGAGCCGCGCGCGTGAATAGACCCTAATGGCCAAGTTGACGCTGGACCCACAAAGAGACTAAACTCAACCATCGTCTTAAAGCCTAGATTACAAACATGCCAAAGCTGCAACCTTGCAAGAGTCCAGACTACTCTCAAGCCTTCCAACCTTCTTCTCCTTCTCAGGTATATATTTATTCTTTCGATGCGACCCAACACCCAATCACAATTCCTGTCGTAGTTTTCGCCTCTTCAGGACAGGACTCTGCAGTAGTCACTCACCCTAAATCTTACTGGCACGCTGTCTGTCACGAATTCCATCACTCTAGCGTTTCAATAGCCACGGTCAAATCGCCGGGCTGTTGTCGATGAACAAGCTCGCCTCAAGTCGGCATGGCCTAGGCACGCACATACATCCCTCTCCTACTCCGGCCAAGGTCAAATTGATAGACTACGGCGTGTAACAGTTTCGGATCCGGAGCTGCGGTTGTGCCGGTAGCTGTGATCCACACGGTAACCGACCCCAGTTCGGAAATCATAACGGCTGACCGAAAAATCTCGGCGACTTCCCAAGCCAAGCCGAGTCGGCAGCGAGCGGATCAAATGGCGAGTATTTATTCGGCCCAACAATTTATCGGGCAGTGCAACCAGGAAAGCAAACGTCCGTAAGTTCGCAGGCGACTCGTTTCTTGCTGTTTACGCCGACGAGTCGGTCTTCTCTTCAAGCGCCCCCGGGCGAAACGCCACATCAGCTGGGCGCTTCGTCAGTGGCCTTTACTGGCCGAACATCGTCCTCCGGGCGCCCTGCCTGGACGGGTGTGGAAAATGCGTGCTCTCGGTTATCATTGGCTTCTTCATGGCCAGCAGAATGCTTGGTTGTCAGCGAGGCTCCGTGAAATAGACGCTCTGCCATGCCCCCTGGCATATATCAGTGTTCCCGGCAACATCTCCTCGCATTTCACAACCGATGCCCTCCTCAGCTTGTCGCTATTCTCGTGGGTCCTCTCGAGATGTCGGGTTTCGAAATCGTTGGTGCCGTAGCGGCTGCCGGCCAATTCATCGAACAATCCACCAAGGTCATCGGACTGATCAAGGCAATCATCGACCAAGTCAGGGGCGCGCCAGCCGAAATAGCGCAACTGACCGAAGAAATCGAAGCGCTCCAACAAATTGCCATCGATATTAAAGCTTCTAAAGGTCCTCATTCGCGAACTACTGACAAGGTCCTTCGACGGTGCGAGGATCACGTCAAGGCTCTACGCAAAATCCTTGAAAAGATCTCCTGCGACCTCGATGCTGGTATTTTGAAGAAAACATGGCAAGCCGTTCGAGGAGTGTACTCAGAAGACGGCATTCGTGCTATTCTAGACAAGATAGAACGGGAGAAAACGCTCCTGATAGCTGATATATCTGCGAGAAATGGGTATGAGCTCCCAAAATTAGTGGTTACCTCGGCCTAGCCTAAGCTAAAGCTAATGGTTTCCTTCCCCTCTGTTAGATCAAGCCTGCACTCCTATGGGAAGAAACTGGATTCCATCGAATCCGATCTTCAAATTGTCGCACGCAGTCTTGAATGTCTTCCCACTAATCGGAACCAGTCGCCAGACGCAGACAAGTGCCGGCGCGATTTGTTTCTGACAGACCCCAGGACACATCGCGAGAGACTGAAAAGAGAAAAGGGTAGCGTCATTGTCGGTTCGTGTGACTGGGTTCCCGAAACACCGCAGTATAAATCTTGGAGCGACTCTACGGGAGGTGTTCTATGGATTTGTGGAGGCCCCGGAACAGGCAAAACAATGCTCTCCATATATCTCTCAGAACGCCTCGAACGTGACGCTCAAGCACGAGACACCCCATCTCTGGTGCTTTACTTCTTCTGCGATAACCGTGACAACGAGCGCAATGGAGCCATCCAAATGCTCCGAGGCCTTCTGTACCACCTCGTCGAGCTTCGCCCAGGGCTTATCAAGCACATGCTTTCAGCGCATAAGGTTCAGGGCAAGCGACTCTTTGATGGCGATATTGACAAGATTTGGGACGTTTTTTTACAGACAATCGATGACCCTGATGTTCCACCCGTGACCTGTGTTATGGACGGACTTGACGAATGTGACGAATCATCTCTGACGTCCCTGCTCCTCAAAATAGAAAGCCTGGCACCTACCGACAAACTGAAGGTTCTCGTTCTCAGCCGCGAACATCCGAAATGTATCAGAGAATCTCTAGCATCACGACCTCAAATAAAACTCGACGCAGCCTTGGAGAGCGTGAGCGATGGTTTAGAGCTTTACATCAACACCAGAGTGGCTGAGCTCGCAGAATCGTCTCCACACTACCCTCAATCGCTCATTGAACGCATTCGAAAATCTCTAATTACAGGTTCAGGGGGAGTTTCCCTGTGGGTTAGCTTCATGATACAGGACCTGCGTGGTAAAGAACCGAGCGAGGTTGTCGATTGTCTCAACGACCTCCCTGAAGGTCTATATGAGATATATGAGCGTATTCTAAATCAAATCAAACCAAGACATCGGAATCAAGTCAAAGCACTGCTGACGTGGGTAGTGTTCGCTGAATGGCCACTCAGCTTGGAGGAGCTCGTCGAGGCGTTGGCCGTCGAGGAAACGAACGGGCTGAATCCGTCGCAAATAGTCCGCGACTACGTTCGGTTCTGCGGTCATCTCCTGACGGTATCCGAAACGGGGAGAGTGGTTAGATTTGTGCACCAGAGCGCCAAAGACTATCTCGTCCAAGCCCGAAAACCGCCAAACCTTTCATGGACGCCAGTCTTCGATGCAGATACCGGCCACTCCACCCTGGCGATCAGATGTATCGAGTGCATGCACCAACGATTTAAGTTTAGCGATGTGCCGTGGAAAGACGACTACCGAGGTCGTCTCTTGTCAGGATCAGAAACGGGAAGACTCGATGGATCGGGTGCATTAATACCATATGCAAAGAACTTTTGGGATTTTCACTTCAAGGCTTCAGGACATAAGGCTCGGGAAGTCCTCGAGCGCCACAGCTCCTTCTTTAAGGGCTCGGAGCTCTTGTATCACCAGCTCCATACCGAGTTCCCCATGGATCGCCCAGGCTTGGTTTTCGTGGATTCTGAGAATATCGTCGATCTGCCGGCATTCCATATCGCTTGCGGCCTGGGTTTGCATGCCTGGGCCGAGTACATTCTCGAAAATCACAAACCTGCGTTGAGACTCTCTCGCTTTGCAAATGTTGCCGTCTCCGTTAGGGAGAACAGGAAGTGGACCCGCTTAACTTCGCTGTTTGTAGTGGCTGTTACACAACAACTAAGCTGCTCATTAGGCACGGTGCAGATGTGAATTTCATCTCATCTGCAGGAAAATCGCCACTTTGGATGTCTGTTTACATGGGGTTGCAGTCTATTACCGACCTTCTTCTGTCCCATGGCGCGAAACCGTATCCCTTACGTGGCGAATGGGCCATAATCACGAAACAACGGAAATGCCAAAGTCCCCTAAAGCCTGCAGTTGAAAGGGGCGACAAGAGTCTTATAAAACTGTTATTGGAGCATGGGGCCGATCCGAACGCCCGGCTGTATCGCCGTGAGTTGGATCAGACTGGGAAGAATACGCTGGAGCGTATTTACTCAGAGAATGACGGAACTCTGCTGGAGGTGGCGGTAAGATATCATAATCTCCCAATGGTGGAGTGGCTTGTGAGAGAATTCGGCCGGGACACGAAGGGGAGTATTGACGATGGAGAAACACTTAAGGCCCGTAGTAGCTCCACTGGCTGGGCTGGCATGGCGAGCTTTCTGCGTCGACATGCGGGCAGATGAGCAGAGATTGTCTGGTACTTAAAAAAAAAAAAAGAAAAAAAAAAGGCATAGAAACTACTGTGGTTCCGATGTCCGATGCCCTGTGCTGGCGCGGTGCAGGAGTCCCCAAGCAGGGCCGCAGAGCCCCCAAGCCCATGGATGTAGCTTAGCGCCCTAGCAGCGACGAGGGCCATCAACTCTACCCGGCCGGTTTAGAGGCGGGTTCTCCAGTTTGGGGAGGACAGGTAGACTGAACTCAGCGTGCTTCGCGTGTGTAAACAGACGCAACCAAGAGATGCCACCTCCAGACAAAGGGAGTAAACCCCAGGCCAAATCCCGGGCCGACTGGCTTTTTGAAGGTCCACTGTTGTTGCAGTGTTCCAGGGTCTGTGCTATTTTAAGCACACAGGGCAAGTAGGGTGTTCACTCGTCGTTTTCTGTCGACCAACGACGGGTTGCACCTCAGAGCCTCACACATGAGTCTGACTGCGAAGTTGGTAGGCAGAAGGGAAGGCCGCTAGCTTCAACGATCGACAAGTTCGAACAGGCAATCGCCGAATAGATAATTTCAACTCATTTAAGCGGACGCAGAATAATCCCAGTAATTCTTTGGATCTTGCTTCGCACAGACTCGCTCTCCGATGGTATATACTCCCAACGCCAGGCTCATCATGACCTTTTATCGAAATATCACACAAGTGTTAAATACCAACCATCATTTCCCTCCCTTAGAACAGGGGATGATGAAACGCCCTTCAGTAGCCTAGATCGGGGACCCAGAAAATCACATCCTCATCCGCTGTCGCAAAATGGTTATACCTAGGATTGAACTCAATGACCGCCGCCTCCCTCTTCTCCTCGAGTACAAAGGTCGGATCGAGCACCTTGTTCTCACCCGCATGCTTGATATCCCAACCTAACACGTCCTTCCTCGAGCCACTGAGCACGAACCGACCGTCGGGCGTGAAGCAGCAGTCACCACTGCTCTCCATCGATGCGCCGCCACCGGGACTGCCGCCAGACGAACCGTTCGCCGTCGTAGTCTCCCCGGGGGCCAGTCTAGTAGTGCCGCCTTCGGGTTTGCGCAGGAAGGCCTTCAGAGTGCCGTCGAAGGCGTCGAGGAGGAAGTGGCCGGGCCCCTTTGTGCCGAGCAAGAGAGACTTGCCGTCGTTGGAGAACTCGAGTTTGGTCCAGCCCTTGAGGAGCCATTGCCGGTCGTAATCCTTGCACTGCTCGACGACGTCGAACACGGAGAAGGGGGCCTTGTCAAAGTTCTTGCAGTCGTAGAGGAGGACGGTGCCGCTGCTGGGGGAGGCCACGGCGAAGATGTTCCCCGAAGGGTCGTAGGCGGCTAGGTAGGGAGTGTTGAGGAAGAGCTGGCCGACCCATTGCTTGGTGGATATGTTCCACAGGCGAACGGTATTGTCAAGGCTACACGAGATGAAGTTATCATGTCCTGGGTGCATGGTGAGGCAGGTCACTCGGCCCTCGTGGCCCTCGAAGTATCGAATGAAGGAGTTGTCGTGAGTTGCAAGGTATCTTATAGCATCTGGCACACAGGGAGGAGTGTTAGCTTTAGCAATTGGGCTAGCAGCACACGGCTTGGAAGAGGGCGAATCGAGGCTGGATCACCATTTTGTTTGGTACTAGCGTAGATGATGCTGGAGCTTGTATGCGTAAACCTGGCGAGCTTTACTCCGTACTTTTTGCTTAATAACGTCTTGTTGTGCAGCCCATCCTTGACGTTGTAGATCTGGATCGTCTCGTCGCTCTCGGACGTCATGAGAAGCTCGCCGGGGTCGTCAAAGTCCAGCGAGAGGACACGCGGTCTAGGTTGGCCGTCCTTGACATCTTCTCGGCGGAAGAGCTATGTAAAGACAGATCCATTAGCTTCCATCGTCCATTTCGCCCAGGGTCGCAGTTGTTCGCGAGAGTATAGCTATGAGCTAGCTCGAGGCTTCGGGGCGCGCACCATACCTTGGTGGGTCTGAATGTACTTATGACGTCGCTCAATTGGGACGTGGTGTTCGATGGGCCGCCAATGACCCTATTAAGATTGATTCCATTGGGAGTCGATGAACCAGGGGCATCGAGGTCCATTGGTGTGGAAGACATCGTTGGTGTTGAATGCGGCCCTCCGAGATTCGCTTAGCTCAGGACGAGGTTTGCAACGGCGCTTCGGTCTGAAGAGGGGCACAAGTTATGGGGAGAGTTTTAAGCATGACATGGGGGAAAAAATTGGTAGCTCAGGGAGATTCGGGTCGCCTATTTCGGCCTGGACTGGCTTTGGGAATCTTGATCAGCATGGGTCCCCTCAGCTTGATCAATCAAATCAAGCGTTTCAAACTTTGCGGGAGGGCCCAGTCGATTTCTTCTCCAACAGAAGCATTTGCAGTGGCAATCCCCCACTTTCGCACGCTCCCGAGCCCACAATGCACCGTTGCTTGGAGCCCACGCGACCCAGGACGGGGAAATACACTCCTGTGCTTCGTAATGGTGCAGTTCAGTCAACGAAATCGGTCTTCAAATCCGAATGCGCTGAACCACCGAAACCCGACATCAGCGCTAATTGAAATGTCAGCCCCACGATTTGGTAGAACCCCTTGAATCACATCAGCGAGCTAAGCCCAAATTAGGCCTTAATATCTCAAAGCTCGGGGTTTTGGGCGACCCGCTAAACCCCGGTTGCGACTGCCGATGGCGGTCAAGATTTTTCCCCAGCGGTTCAAATCGGCGCTTTCGCAGGGGAATGTGGGAGTCACAAAAAACAATCCCCCAGTGCCAGCTTTCCTCCACCTTCGTCCTCGCAACCTCAACGAACTATACTTCGTGAGACGGTTCAAGCGACGAAAGGGAAACCGGCAGTCTGGGCCCCAGCCGACGCCTCTGTCCTACGGTTGACCGATTCTGATCCTTTGAAGTTTTTGGATTTTTTTTTCCCCTAACAGTCGAATCCGGCGATAGAGCACATGTAGGTTGCTCCAACAATTTCCCCGTCGGCTTCTTCATTGCCGACGTATCGCATCCCGACGCGATGACTCCTTCGAGAGTCTCGAACTAATCCACCATGGTCGATATATAGATCCCATCGTGTGAGCGTTTATTCGAATCGACGGAAATTAGACGAAAGGAATACATCAAGATCGAAGAGGGGGAAATAAAAAGGACAAGCGTCATCAGGCTGGGGAGACTGGGAGAAGGGCCACCATGTCTACAACCATAGGGCACGTCCTCCGAAATCGCAGCTACTCCCTCGAAGTTATGTCCCACGGAGTACTAACTCGCGATGCAGAGCCTTTATTGCTGGCGGTATAGCCGCTTGCGGCGCCGTCACGGCTACCCATCCCTTCGAGACGGTCAAGATTCGGTGCGCATACCTCGGCCACCTCCTTCCGAATACCGGGACCTCCGGACTAGAACGCTAACATCGAACTCTCATGTAGAATGCAGCTGCAAGGCGAGCTTCAGGACAAGGGACATCAACCTCACCACTACCGCGGTCCCATCCATGGCGTATCGGTCATTGTTAGGAATGAGGGCTTGCGCGGCATCTACCGCGGTATCGGCACCGCCTACATCTACCAGATTCTCCTCAACGGATGCCGTCTCGGATTCTACGAGCCCATGCGCAAACCGCTAACTAAGCTCATCTTCGGAAACGAGACGACGCAGAGCCTCGGTATCAACATGTTTTGCGGTGCGTCATCCGGGGTCATCGGCGCCGCCATGGGAAGCCCCTTTTTCCTCGTCAAGACCCGCCTGCAGAGTTACTCTCCTTTCCTTCCAGTCGGCACGCAACACAAGTATAAGAATCTCTTCGACGGCATGTCGCAGATCTACAAGGGCGAGGGCGTTGGGGGGTTGTATCGAGGAATCAGCGCTGCGATGATTAGGACTGGTATGGGAAGCTCGGTACAGCTGCCGACCTACTTCTTTGCCAAGAGGAGGTTGGTGAGACATCTCGGTATGGAGGAGGGTCCGGCCCTTCACCTTACTAGCAGCGCCGTGAGCGGCTTTGTGGTCTGCTGCGTCATGCACCCGCCTGGTATGTTTGGTCCCTCTCACTCCGATCTTCCTGCGGATCTCTGGGGGTTTTTACTAACTTTTTTTTCCTTCTCTTTTCGTTAGACACCATCATGTCTCGACTTTACAACCAAAACGGTAACCTGTACAACGGTGTCTTCGACTGCCTTACAAAGACCATCCGCACCGAGGGATTCTTCGCCATCTACAAGGGATTCCTTCCCCACCTTTCCAGGATCTTACCTCACACGATCTTGACCCTTTCCCTCGCCGAGCAGACGAATAAGTTCATCCGGAGCCTCGAACTGAGGATACTGCCTCCAGTAGCATTGGACACACAGGAGAAGAAACTCTAAAATTTGGAAGGAATAGAGTGATGTGGCGGCGATGGGACGCATCTGTTAGTTTCAGGGGTCTCGGTAGGGGAAGGCGCATTGCTTGGGCATGCATCGTTTATACCGTTTTGGAATGAGCCCAGCTCTCTCTTCGTAGAAGTTCAGGCCATTCTCTTCTTGTCTTGGCGTCCGGGCCATATTAGGTTAAAGATTTTGGAAAAGCACTGGAACGAGAAATAGTTGGATGGCGGAAGTCGTGCATGTACATAATACCATGCCGCAAATCTTTTTCCTTTTGTCTATCGAGCTGAATCGCCTCGAAAATCCGTTCCAATCGTAACTCCGTAAGCATAAAGACCAGTTCTACACTTTCTACCCACGAATAGACCTCTCGCACCCGTAACAAAGCTTCGAGTCTCCGCCATCTTCCTCTGGCCCAACTCCTATCTCGCCCTTCCACCTCGCATCCCCGCTCTCATCAACCGCCACACCGCACAGCCTACACGCTGTGCCCCCTCCGCCTCCACTCATCCCAGCCCGCGCGAGTCTACCCGTGGTGCGAACCACATTCGCAACCACAGCGGGGTACCCCTCCTCGACGCTCTCAAAGTAGCGAACCATCGCCTCCTCGATGCTAAGATCCTTGTGGGAGACCACATCCGCCGAGGCGGGTGGGTTCGACACGATAATATCCGACAGCGACGGGTCGGCGAAACGGAGGTACGTATGAATCTCGTTGCGGAAGACGTCTCGTAAGGGATAGTAAACTTGCATACTCCTGGGAGCTCCCTGTTCGGATCCAAGAAGGGGGAAGGGACCGTCGTTGATCTGCCAGGGGACGGAGAAGCCTCTTCCCTTGGCGACCTCGGCGAGGGTGAGTTCAGCCAGGGCGGTGGTCGTGCAGCCCAGTAAGAGGGCCTCGCACGAGTTCTCCACGGCGAAGGAGAGGAGGATGCGGCGGAGAAAGAGACGGAGGATGTCGGCTTTGGAGGTTACGGAGGGAAGTGCGTCGAAGAGGGATTGCATGCGGGACTGGGGATCTAAGGTGGGGTCCGTGGAGGGGAGGGAGGGCCAGTCTATGGAGGATATGTAGAAGGCGGAGCTTAGGGGGATGAGGCGGAAGTCTATCTCTGGGAACTTCTCGCGATACCTTTGTAGCAGCGCCGTAGCAGGAGAGCCGTTTGTTTGGGCATCACCATTAGAGCCCTTGGCGGGGTGAGGTCTGAGGTCTGTGTCGACGTGGGCTACGATCAATTCGTACGCGACCGGGGAATTAGGGTTCGCCCTCGCGCGGACATACTTGAGGTTCTCATCTAATATCTGAACGAGCGCCGTCGATGAGGGCCCGAAGGAGAGTCCGGCGAGGTAGCGACATGTACGCTTCTCGCGGGGTCCGACGAGCTCCTTACGGAGGAGGCCTAGTCTCTTGACAGCCTTATTATGAGTGAAGGATTGGAAACATGTTCTGATTTTTGGGTTAGCTGCATCAGGGTCCGAAGAGTTGGGATGTTATGGCAGATCGAGGGGCATGGCGGGGTTGAGGTTACGGGCATGTGGATTCGGTCCTTAGCTTGACGGTGGCGGGGTTCGTCTTGCATCTTGCGCAGGGACGCGGGGAGTCTGAGGTGGGAGTCGGCTCCGGCTTGGCCATGGCTGCGGAGGACGAATGCTTTGAAGGGTTTGAGGTCTTGGATTTATGGTGATTCCAAGAGCGGGAAGGAGTGATGGTAAGTGTCTGTTGAATCCAGGTCTCAATCTTTGTCTCTGGGGTGTAGAAAATTTCTAAGTGTCTCTGTCTGCACCATCAGTCAAGAGAAGAATATTTTGCCCCAAAATACTAGAACCCTCTTTCTTACGCTCTGTATTTTAGACACCAACCAATTCAATTCTATTCATCAAGACAAACAGGGTGGATGTCTGTATCTGTATCTAAGCCCCGAGACAGAGACAGCATAATCATGAAGAAGAAAATCCTATATTTCCTTCATCATCTTTCCTGTCTATCCTTGATAGATCTCACTCATCTTTACTCCACCTCGATCTCTCTTATAAAGAGAAGGGGACCATTAAGCTCATTCCTTCTCAGCTGGTTATCTAGACTTTGATAAAAAAAATTGATTGAATACATTGCCAGTACCGGACTCCCTCTCTACCAGATTCCCAGCTTTCTATAGTACCACCCAACTCCAGAATCCCTAGGCAGTCTCAGGACAATCAGAGAGACCTGGAGAGACTTGTCCTTCCACCAATCCATCCAAGGGAATATGATCAATACTATAAGACTTAGCTACAATGCTATGGAAGTGGGATTCCTGCATTTGGACCTTCCTCTTCACCCCAGTGATGTCATTGAGTCTGGGGAGCTCCCGCCTCATTCCTCCTCACCCCGTGTTAGTCCTTGTTAATCCCACGCCCTGGAAGAATATCAAGAAGGAGCCCACTTACACTGTCGTTGCCTAAGTTCTAAGTCTCAGAGACTCTGTCATGGTCGTTGAGTATATGTTTAATACACCACGAGGGCTCTTCCTGTAGCTTCCTCGATGTATGTCTCCTGGAAACGTCCTTCCCCCCTTGGCCGACTTCCACCGCCGGGCCAACAGGAACGCGACTCGACAAGGTAAACCTCGATTCAAACCTCGGCGCGTAAAACATTCATCCCTTCTTCACCTCATCGTCCTCTAGAAGTGTTGCAGTTGCGTTTTCCCAGCACTGTAGCATCCTGTTTCCGCTCTTTTAACCAGCTTCTCGACATCCTCCATCGATATCAACGACTCCGCAATCACGGTGCCCCCCGACAAAGCATCTGTATCTGTTGGTACCCCTTGTGAACCACATTCTTTCGTACTTGAGTACCGGTAAGCCAGTTAATCGTTTCGTGCCCTTCGGCGCCAGTCACAAGGTCTATCCCCACGTCTGACGATCCGCTCGGATTGGACAAGTGTATCGATCCAAACTGTCCCCGAATCACTTGGCATACTCACTTGAGTATATCTCATCATGGATAAATCAAGTTATCCTGGTCAAGCCTCCAAGCCCAAGAAATGGCAGAGGACGGCGTCCGACCTAAGCCCCGCCATCAAGACGAACAGCGACTCCACAGCTGGCGGCGAGTCCATCACCAAGCTTGTTAAGAAAGTCTCTCGGTCCTTCAGTGCGAAGACCACCAATCTTTTCAAGAAGTCGTCCGGACGATCCTCCGAGGACTCTAGTTCGTCGGTATCTGGCAGCTCCCAGAAAGGTGGCGCTGGCTGTTTCACCACCGAGTCGTTCGAACAAACAGTGCCCGACGATTACAGTCTGGCCCCGAGGCCAACTGCTTCTAGCGAGGACGGCCTCTCCTCGGTTAGGTTCTCAAGTAAGTGAAATCTCCAAGCCGCATACATTGATTTGCTCAGAATTCGTACTGACGTCCGTTCGCTTCAAAGCTTGCCCCAGCAAGAGCAGCAGTCAACGCTCGCGAAACATCAGCGGTATGCTGAGGACATGCCGAAAACGTCTCTCAATTGGAAGCCTCAGAGATAGCCTTGATGAGATGGGTAACCCGGAGAAGAAGAAGCGAACCTCTCCTATTGTCGCTCATTCGTCTTCCGGCGCTCCTCGTCTTGGTGCTCTTAGCTATGAGGGTGCCGGCCCTGACGGCGAGGACAGCATGTTCACGTTCCGAAACGACCTGGATCGCGCCATGAATGAGATCACTGAGCGCGGAAAGATGGCTGACTACGTCAGGGCCAAGGATTCACCCAACCCTTTTCGATACTCGAAAAATCTCGCCGTGCGCGGAAAACCTCTCACCTTCAACAGAGCTACCAACGTCCTTGGTAACATTGTGAATCAAAAGCCCCGATCGATCAGCCAGAATGAGTTGGTCATTTGCAAGAATTCCGAGAATGCCTTCAAGGACTTCGATTTCGGCATCCGTTCGGAATTCACCTCCCGAGCGTCAAGCTATGGTAAGTTGACGACGATCTCCAGTGGCGGAAGGGGCGCCTCCGAGGACAAGGTCCAGAAGGCTTTCAATGAGCGCAACGAAATTCTCGAGAGCGCCAAGAAAGAGTTGGCTAAGTCCTCTCCTCAAACGGCCAAGTTTGTCGGCCAAGTTCGAGATCTGCCCCTCGAGGCCCGCGACAGGAACCTGACTGTGCCCGGTGGAATTGGCACCCGTGTTAAGTTGTCATATCCCTGGATCCAGTTCACCAATGGCCGGCTCGAGGTCTTTGAAACTCGCGAGGCCGCTCTCGGCAGCATCAAGTATGAGGTGCATGCGATCAATGACCTTGCGTTCTATAATGTAGATACGAAGACCTACTTCCTTCAACCTCCGTGCTACTTCATTGATAGCGAGTACGCCGAGGTCGGCTACCTCCGTGGTCTGGAGCTTGTCTCCCTCAGTTACGAGGCCGGTACTACTAGGCACAATGCTGCCGCTGATGCCGCGGACCCCAATGTTCCTATCGCCGGCAGGCCTTATCTCGTCATGTACATGGACGAGGAAAATGACTATGTCATCGTCGATGTTAGGGATGACTCCATGAGCATCAATGACTTAATTGGTTTCTAAAACCAGGAATGAGAGCGGAGAAGTTGAGCTGGATCGAACGCGGAGGACGATTGTTGTTTTTCTCATATTTCACGTTGAGCACAGCAGGCAAGAAACGGTATGAGTGGAAAGTGTACGGAACGTGGGAGGGTGCTTTGGAGAGTGCATCGATAGTATCGGGATTGGTGAATGTCTTCTCTCGTCCATGTTGGGCTCTTGACCGAGTCTTTAAAAACACCGCTGGCGAGTTGGCTTCCAGTGTGGTTCTGGATTGAGAACTCCTAATCGGACTGTATTCCTATGGTTCATGCATGTACTGTTAGTCTTGCTTTCATCTTGTGAATTTCTTTCTAGTTGAGTATGCGAAAACCGGCGAGGACAGGCCAAACCCGTTCTCGGGGCCCGGGTATTGTGGCAGAGAGGCAGGGAACAGCTAGGAAGGCATAGTCAAATTCATCATTCATTTTCACTCGAACGAGTATTATCGTAAGAGACCGAAATAGGTGCCATTACTGTGACCCATTGAGTGTCTGTAACGAGATTCTGTCTATAGAACATCATCGAGTTGTTAATATTTAACACTCCGAATGCCTCCTTGTCGATACAAATAGAGTCGCCAGTTCCCGTTCCATTCCCACATCAGAGGCCCATGCCTCCGGTTTCTCGTGGCAGTTGAGTCGAGGCAAGATATCAGTTGCGTGGGGGATACAGATTCAGGTCGAATATTGCTGACTCGCTATGCGTCGGGGTTCATTCTCGTTCCCTCAAGTTAGAAATCGTAGACCGTCTAAGGGAAGGAACACATAGGTGAACGTGGCACCAGGAAGACTTCACTTTGAGTGATCAGAATTAAGTGGAATAGGATGGTCCAGTGCTGCTGAAGGATATCTATTCACCTTTCTCTATAGTCCACCCCGAATCTTTTGAAGTTGGCTTATCAGTCCATATCCACCAGAATACGTCTTTTGTTCCGTGCCCGCACTCTTCGCAACACTTCCCTTCCTCGACCTCCCCCCCGCAGTCTTAGCAGCAGGCTCCATCTCCTTGAGCAGATCCCTATGCGCATCCTCGACCATCTTCGCCAGCGTCTCTATGAATTTTGTCCGGCCCCTTTCCTCAGCGGTACCGTTCCACACCGTCGTCAGTTCCTTGAGCTCGGCCACTCTCTCGGCGGCTTTCTCGATGCCGCGAATGGGATCCTCATCTGCCAATAGTGTCGAGATCTCATCCCGCAGAGACTTGAGCACGTGTTGGCCCTTCTCCTCCGAGCTCCGCTGCTCTTTGCCGGGTTCCGGGGCGGAGACGGAAAGAAATGAGGAGCCGACTGATAGCTCGGAGGGCGGGAAGGGAAAGTCCATGGCTTGGCCGAAGGTTTTGATGACTGCGTCGAGTCTTGACCGGACGAGGGTCAGGGTGCGGAGCTGCTTGACGAAGTCAGGCTCGTCGGGCGTCGTACCGTCCTCCTTGCCACTACCCTCCTTTGGTTGCTCTTCAGATCCCGCACTAGTCTCCTCGATTTTGATTTGGGCGTTTTGAAGGCCACCCGGAACGAACTTTTCGATATCCTTCCCTAATGTCTCGTGGAGAGTCTCGGAAAATGCTAGAGCCTCACCCCTGAGCAACTCAACCTCGTACGCTAACCGACTCCCGCTCCGGAGAATGTCGTCTGTAAGTTGGGTCAGGGTGTTCGTTAACCTCGTCGTGTGAGCGTTCAGATTGTTCGCCAGCCCTTGCGACTCCGATGACAGCTCCGACAGCGGGACGGCCTGCTTCCCGTTTGCTGCTTTCGCAGAAGCGACGCCGGCATGTTGGAGCGGGGGTAGAGATGCGTTCAGATAGGCAGCAGGATTAAATTTGGGATCAAGAAAGGGCTGGAGGAAAGGGTCCGAGACATGGCTGGATTTGGGCTGGATAGTAGGGGCCTTGGATTGTTCTCCGTTCTGGCCAGGCAGCGATTTCGTCGTTGATGCTGTGCTGTTTTGCCGTTGTCGTGAGGTCTGTTGTGATGCCATGTCTCTGGTACAGCCTGTGTGTCTGAGGCTGGCAAGTATGATAAGAGATGACGGTTGGATCTAGTCACAATCCTGCAATTCTACATGTACAGCGCCAGTAAATGACGAGGAATTGTGTCTTGGTGACCATGAAGAGGAATGGCCGGTCGCAATGCTGGCGTTCTAAGTTGGGTTGATGAGCCCGCCTCAGCGGTCTCTCATCAATTTACTGAGCAATACAGGAGGTACAGAGACACGCTGGAACTTCTAGAACTTCAAATTGAACCTTATTGTCGACGGTTGAACCATGAGCCGTCATGTTGCCAATCTGGAAGCCAAATTCATAACGAAGTTCAAGGAGACCCTGATATCCTTTCATAGACTCTTCAAACGAATAGTTTCAGTCCCAAAAGAGGATCATGGCTGTTTCTACTGAGTAACGGCCTCAGTAGACACTCGTCGTTTTAATGATGCTGGTCTCTCCTTGGTCACCAGTTCAGGCTCAATCGCTACACTGTCAGCTGATTTGATTCCCTTCCCTTCACGTGATGGCGATCAACTTCCCCGAGGTTCAGCCGCAGGCTCTTGTCTCGTCTTGGCAGTGCTGACGAGTGACGGTGCATTGTTGCACCACTGCCCAGTGACCACTGGCAGGTCACGGCCCCTTACTCCGTACTTTCCAGGACCGTCCAGTCTACCCAGTCGACCCAGTCCTTTTGTTCACCTTTGACGTAGCAGAACGCCGCAGCCTGGCAACTCCCGACCTCAACATCAACCCCAACCGCTTGACGACTTCTTTCACCCGCCATCCCCAAGATCAAGGCATACCATCGACTTTATAATCTCTAGGATATCCCACCCTTTTTTTTATTCTTCATCGGTCTCGCTAGTGCCTTTACCGCTTCCTCCCCAAGCATCACCACACTTGTTTCGTCATCATGAACCCTGAGTAGTATGTGTCTGATCCATCCCCGTCCCTTGGGCCGGCCTGGTCCTGAAGGAGGCCTCACTTTAGTGTCAACACCATGGAATCTAACTCATGTCTAGTGTTTTAATGCCCACGTTGAAACCGATATCGATATCGCGACTATACCCGCCCCTTGTGATTAATGAACTAACCAGCGTCTGAAGATACGACTACCTCTTCAAGCTCCTCCTCATCGGAGACTCCGGTGTCGGAAAGTCTTGCCTTCTCTTGCGGTTTGCCGACGATACCTACACGGAATCATACATTTCCACAATCGGTGTTGATTTCGTACGTCTCCTGCCTCATACACAGGTGCCCCTGCGCTTGGCTCTTCAAATGAATGATCAGATCAGCCACGGCAGCCTGCAAAGAGTCATCGACACTGACTTAGCGTCCTAGAAAATCCGAACGATAGAACTCGATGGAAAGACGGTGAAGCTTCAGATCGTAAGTGAATTCCACGCTGCCGGACAAATACACATCTCAAAGTGTCAGGAGGGGACCTGATGACTGATGGGTTGAATATAGTGGGATACTGCCGGCCAAGAACGATTCCGAACCATCACCAGCTCGTACTACCGAGGTGCGCACGGCATCTGCGTGGTCTACGATGTCACCGATATGGACTCTTTCAACAACGTTAAGCAGTGGCTCCAGGAGATCGACCGCTACGCCACCGATGGTGTCAACAAGTTGCTTGTAGGCAACAAGAGCGATATGGCGGATAAGAAAGTTGTGGAGTACACTGTTGCTAAGGTACGAATACATGCCCCCCTTCGGCCCTCCGAGTGGTGTTGATCCTTTGTCTGCCTGCTGCGTTGTACCTTTGTTCCCAACGTACGATCCGGCGTACAGCTCGGCCAAGTCATCTGCTGCCTAAGGGGGTAAGCCTTGGGGAATGACGGACAGGCCGCTAACAATCTCATTAGGAATTCGCCGACAGCCTCGGAATCCCATTCCTCGAGACCTCCGCCAAGAACGCCAGCAATGTCGAACAAGCCTTCCTGACCATGGCCCGGCAAATCAAGGAGCGGATGGGCACCGCGACAGCGAGCAACACGAAGCCCAATGTCCAAGTCGGCCCCGGCCAAGGTGTTGGACCCTCCTCCAACGGCGGATGCTGCTAAGCTTTCCCATGGAACTTCCATGGCCCGGCCGTTCTGCACTTTGTCGTCTTCCTCGAAACACATATGTTGCACGTTTTGAAGTCCCAGATACGATTAGGGGACCGCATATATGAGGGGGATGTTATGGGCAGTGGTGTGGTGTAACGGAGTCTTAATTTGGTTATTGGGGGAGCAGGGCTAATCGCATCAAGAATGGGGAGATGGTTTCTCAAACTCTTTTTTTTTATCAGATCATTTAGACGGGAGAAGTTGTACCTCTAGAGCCTCGACTCCGCCCGGCAGATGAGGAACGCTCAAACTTGTTTTTTGAAGGATACCTGCAAAGGCAGCCGCAGACATATCGATGTAATGGACGCTTTTCGCTTTTGTTTTTTTGCTTTTTTCTATCTTCGACTTCTTCACTGGCAAGGAATCCCTGCATACCGAGGCACCTTCTCCCAAGTTGGGCATTGTGGGCAATTGTTCTGATCTGTCGGGCAAGTAGCGAAGCGAGGAAGCTGTGATGGGGGAGTTTACAGAGGCCATCTTCAAGTGTGCATTACCACCGTATCTGAGCTCTCCCCAACAGCCTCGGACGATTTCCCTTTCCTTTCCTCTCTGTCTCTGGGGCGAATGATAGTTTGAAGCACCAGTCGAGGGAACGTGGAAGAATATCCGTCTTTACGTTTGCGGTTCTTTTTTTTCTCTCCTTTTTTCCTTCTTCGGTTTCTTTGCGTTTCCCCGATCATTTTCGCTTCTCTCCGCCAACTTCTTTCATGCCAAACCTTTTTTTGTACGCTTGTTCCCTGTCTTACTTAGTCCATTGAGTCTCTTTATTTTTGTGCGTTGGAATGCTCCGCTGTTTTGGTTGGGGGTGTGGGTTAAATTAAACTGGCCATATACATCTATGTTTCTCTTGTCCGTATGTGCGTCTTTCGTGACTGGAGAGTGTTCCGTTTCCCCATGTGCCGGTGTCTTCTTGTTTGTGTGGGTGTTTCATTCATCGCCTGGACATCCTATGTTGAACATGTGGTGCCTCAAGGCTTCTGGAAGGAAGCAAGATGGATGGAAGACTGTTTTCAAAACGCTTTTCACTATTCGTATTATGTATTCCGACCGGCGTAGTTTACACGGATTCTATCCCATTCGCTTGTCCCAACCAAACATGTCCCTATAGGTACCCCAATTTTGATATCACACTCCTCGCCCCGTCCGCCCAAGAGCCCCTATGTAAAAGAAACATAAAAAAAAGAAGGAAAGAAAAAGTTATAGTAAAAAGAGCAAATGAAAACAGAAGCGTAAATAGTGAGACCGCATCAAGCCAACCCCAAAAACTTCAACGCCTTATGACTACTCCCCTTCCTCGCCACAGGCCTCCTCATAAAAATAGGCAACAGCCTCTTCTCCTCCAAATCCTCAAAGTCCGAATCATCCTCGAGATCCAGCCCGACCCCTTCATCCTCCTTCTCGAGCGGCAGGCGCTTCCTATCGCGGACGATGATGCTGGCCGTGGTCTTGGTCGTAGCCGTCGAGGTCGTCGGCGAGAAGCGCCCGTGCTGGGGGGAGCAAGGTGTCTGGACGGGGGTTTCGGTGGGGGAGGGCGAGGGGGTAGCGGAGGAGCGGATGGGGGAGAGGGATCTTTGCGGGAGGGGGGGCGGTTGAGGGGATGTGGGAGATAGAGGGGGGCTTTGGGAGGAGATTGTTAGGTGGGGGATCGTGGAGAAGGTTGCGCCTGATAGAGGTGGGGAGATGCTTCGGGGGTGCGGGGAGCGTTCCGTGGTAATGGCAGCGGTGGTGTCGATGTGGTGGAGGTTGTGTTGGCGAGGAGTCTTGTGTTGGTGGTGGTGGTGGTTGTGGTAGGCGTAGAAGGGGGATATCTCGAAGAGGACCTTGGAAATGGTGGAGAGGAAGGTAGACACTTCGGCGTCGGTGGCCGTGGATGTGAGGAGGTAGTTCGCCGTCGACGGCGTAAGGCTCTTCTCGACTGAAAGTGTAGGTGAAAGGTTAATGACGCCGGAGTATCCCGCAGGAGAGGACATTGCCGGCGAATGGGACGGCGTGGTGTCTAGACTACCGCCGTGGCTACGGATCGGAGCGAAGGGCGAGTCGGTGGAGCTCGAGTCGACGATCTGGGCAACTTTCATGAGATCAACACCGACGAGACGCTGGATGGCTAGCACCGTCGCTAGGTGCTCCGGGGGATACTCGAGGATGAGTAACCTCACCTCGGAGTGCGCGGCGAGATACGTCTCGAGGTGGGGGATGATGAGAGTCGCGAGGAGGTAGGGATTCGTGAAGGGGTTGTCGTTGGATTGTTTCGCGAGCGGCTGCGCGGTGAATGCCTGCATGGCGTTTGCAATGAGATACCTGAGAGACTGTGTTAGTTATTTCTTCTTCTGGATGCTCTCAAACTGAGTGCGTTTGCTTACCTGAAATCAATCCTCCCACTGCGCGAAACGCCGCTCGGCTGCGCTCCCAACTTCTCAAGCCTCCTCCCCACACTCGACACAAACTCCCTCTTCACGCCCGCCTGCGATCCAAACGCAATAATCTGGTCCACCATCCGCATGCTGCTGCTCCCACCTTCTTCCTCATGCCGGTCGTCGCTACCACTTCCAGCCTCCCTAAAGATCGGCCTCCAGAGGCCATCGAGCTCAGGGAGGTGGTGAAAGTTAAACTGGTGAAACCCGTCCTCCTCAGCCGGGAAGTACTCGGCTAGCAAAGACCGCAAGGCGTTCTGGACAGCCACGGCAGTGGGATTTCCCGGCACGGCGAAGTCGCGAATTGTTCTTCGCCTTGGCGTCGTCTCGACTGGGTGGAGCGGCGACGCAGGGGGCGGTGGGGTATGCGCGGGCGTCGGCGGAGCGGAGGGCGATAGCGTCACTATGGTTGAGACGATGACGGGCTTGCAGGAGGAGGTCGAGGCTAGTAAGGGCGGCGGCTGCTTTTGGTAGGAGAAAGGATCGTATTCTTCGTCGGAAGATGGTCGATCCGAAATGACCTCTTGGCAAGGTTGATTCCGCACATGCACCTGCTCCACCTCCACCACGCGCGCAGCAGTCGTCTCGGGCTCAGAGCCGCCGTTGTTGCTCGCTTCGGACCGCGAAGGTTGCACTGGCGCCGGCGCGTAGATACCACCATCCCTAAACGCTTGAACGAATTTATCGATGAGGGTGTCCAGGCGGCCGTTCTTGAAGTACACCACTAGATCCTCCCTGAACGGCAGCACGGGTTCTCGGGCGTCCTCGGCGGGCGCAGTAATAATGTCCTCCGCATCAGTGCCCCTATCGACGTATGAAGCACATCCCGTTTTTCGTTCCTTCTTGGGCTTCGCGAGGAGGGTGACCTTGGCTGCGCTGGAACGCCGAACAAAGACCGTCCTGGGGACCCCCACGTAACTTGCTCGGGTTGAAGTCGGTGATAGTGGCAAGCCGCCCCTCTCATCCGCGATGTCAACACACGAAAATCGCCTCGCGCCATCGAGGTTTTCGAATCCTTGGTCTGCCTCTCTGTTCGACGGTAACCGAAGAGGAAGGTCGCGATATCGTGCGCGGCTCATGCTCATCCGGTCGAGGGACCGAGCCCTCTTAAGGCTCCGCCTAGAAGCAGAAGAAGGGGCGATGTGGATAATCGAGGCCTCGCCCAGGACCACGGGGTCCTCATCATCCTGCGCAACCGCCGAGTTGATTGGGGCCCAGTAGGCCTCGCCAATGCAACTTGGTGAGCGGGGCGAAATAGGGGTTTTCAGGCTCGAATCCAGTTTGAAAGGATCGATGTCGTCGGGCTCGTCATAAAAACTCCTCAGTTCCAACCTCGGACTTTGCAGGAAGAAGGTCCTGCCGCCAGGATTATCCTCGTCGAAGTCATCGATGGCCTGTTCTTCGCTCGCCCGACCTCCTCCTCCTCCTTCCGCACGGGCTCCAAAAACGTAGAACGGCGCTGCATCCCCAAGGTGATCGACGTAGCCGTAAATTGGAAGGCTCATGCTCCGCGGGCGGGGTCGCCTAGCAGCACTAAGCGTCAGGTCGAGGTCCGTGCTGGGTTGGAGAGATTCTGTTTGTCGGTCTAGAGCATCTGCGGCCCTCATGGCTCTAGTGATGGGATCCTGGAAAAGAAACGCATCGGCGTCGTCTAGCGCGGATGCAAAGCTCAGGGACGGGCGTTTTTGAAGATTCTTCTTCCCTACCTCCGAAAGGCCAGCCAAGCCACCCGCGATCATTGCTTGCAGACGCCCCTCGGCCCTTTCGAAATCTCCATTTGTTTCATGCTGGGCAATGGCCTTGACGCAGAGCGCATACGCAGATGGCGTCCCCCCATTCAGAAAGACGAGACGCTTCGAGTCGGGGGTAGCTTCGTTGAGAAAGTTGAAGGCAGCTTCTAATCTCGCAGCAGCTGCATCGTGGACTTTTCGGATAAAAGTTGCGGCGTGGAAAGTCGAGTCCGCTGTCTCGTTAGGCAAGTAGTTTAGGATATTCGGTAAGATGAGTATTTGAGGTGACACTGGTAGAAGCCGGAGCTGGGTTGAGATGGAAGAGTCCGAAGATCCCTCAAAGGCCACAAGGCTCCCATGGTAGCTAGATGTCAACATCGTGGGCTTCCAGGAGTGGTGCGGGAGAGTCGTCGAGGATTTGGTGTAAGCGGAAAACCAAGTGCCTATCCCTCCGTGGGAACGACACGGATAAATCTGGTGAACCGAAGATCTTATCTGATTTGAGAAGGGCGCGGGTCTTTAGACAATATGGCTTGTAAGTTGATGGGAGACCATTTCAAGCAGGGCGCTGGGCACGAGTAGGTGTGTATAAGTATAGCGCAATGAAAGAGGCTCAGCCGACAGCTCTTCAAGAATGCCCCGTGCGACAAGGAGCGCGATTGTTTTATGAAGTTGACAAAGAAGAAACGAAAGTAAAGAAACAATTACTTGGAAACAATGATCGGCGAGATAGTTTCTTCTGAGAATATACTAGGGCGGGATCGAGTTCACTAGGAAGCCTCGATGATTTGTAGGACAAGAGGAGGCAGCACAACACAAGAAAGCCGAGAATAGCACAAAAGAGAAGGAAGAGAAGGAAGAGAAGGAAGAGAAGGAAGAGAAGAAGAATAAAAAAAAAGACGGTGAGGGAGGAAGAAAGGAAGATGAATGGAACTTCTTGATGGTATCACCGTTTGCAAAGCTTGCGAGGAAACAAGGGGTGGGAATTTTAAGGGGATCAGACGTGGGAGGACAAGTTCGTGAAGGTGAAGATGGAGGTGGATCGGAGAATAAATGGATCAATGGACCACTCCGATGTCCAGGAAACCCAGTCTTCCAAGATATGTCGAAGACCTGCCTACCACTCTTCAGCTTCTGGATCTGGAACTGGAAGTGGGATGTGGTTCTGGTTCCATCCAGGCCGTTTATCTTATTAGGCACAGGGTAATCAGAGACACTTACTGTACCTGAAGCTCCGGCTATTACCGTAAGCTCATGATCCGGATTTTGTCGCCCGCTGATGCTTTCCCTGCCTCCTTCGTTCCTGTAGGGTCCCGAGGATTAAGTGGGAAAAAAAATCCCAGGGAGAGAGGGAGCTCTAAGCTTCCAAAGATTCCATACAAGGCTTCGTACAAAGACGGCTACCAGCATGAAACACGAGGAACCTTTAATATGGGCTCGGCGAGAAATGGCGATTACGGGTTGGAGCAGCTGGAAGGAGGAAAGAAAGAGTTCAATGTTCTCAGTCCGGAGCAATGCTACGAAGTACTCACCTCCACCAACGCTGCCGTGCTGCATGCTGCGTCACTGCGTGGGTACAGCCAATAACCGTAAACGGTAATGAGAGCAGCCCAAACGAACATTCAATATGAATTTTAACCCCAGTCAGCTGGCAGACAGGGAAAAGGTGATGGCCGGGGTACCAGCATTAGGCATGCCAGTGACATGGCGGGCATTGGCATGAGCACTGGCACTGGCACTGGCACTGGCATTGGATTTGCGGAGCGGCGAGCTTAGGACGAACATATGAGGAAGTGTACTTGTAAGATCATGGTGAGAATAAGCGCCTTCTGGGTTTGGTAACAGAAGCGTGGGTGGTGATGCACTAATCTTGCCTGATCTTTGCCAGACGGGCCACCGAAAGAGCAACTCTTTCCCTGCCAGGAACAGTCCGTCTCGCGGCAAGACTGGGGGAATGGCACCTCAGGGTGGTAATGGTGTGGTACCAGGGAGAGGACCCATGTAGAGTCTGACCGGGATGGAGTCCTGAGCGATTTGCTGAAGTGGATGGATGGACGGACAGGGCCCAAAGCGTAATTTTAGTTGGAGCTGAGGTTTGTTTGCTCCAAACAGCGAGCTGCAGTTACCGACAATGAGATCTGGATGTGGTACTCTACAAAGGAGAGGTGGCATCACTTCTCGGCGCAGCTTGAGATGATCGACGTCGAAATTATGAGCGAAAGGAAACCGTGGGCACTAGTGTCGAGCCTAGATCCCACTTGGCGCCGTTTGCTGATGGAGAAGCCGAGTCTGTGACGAAGAAATAACGGAAGCTCCTTCGACGAAATCCAAAGCAAGTCCAGGCTAAAGTCGAGTCCCGCGTTTGTCTTTGTCTTTTTCTTTTTCTTTTTCTTTGTCTTCGGGTCCGCCTTGTGTGTGTGTGTCTATCCTCTTGTCGTGCACAAGGAATAGTGTAAAGTCCAGACGTATGTACGTCAGTCAGGGATGGAGAATCGATCGACGGGTGGCTTTCCTGCCACTCGGAGTCTCAGGTGAGCGATATTAGGCTGTATTATTAGTATAATTCCTCTTATTATTGTGCCTTCAGTGTTTCCCTTCCAAATGTGCAGAACTGGTGTTGCTTCCTGCAAAGTAGTATTAATACCACCTGCCTGCCACATCTGCTCATCCAACATTGAGGTTAAGTCTGGACCAAGCCGCACTGAGCTTACACCTGCATCGTGCCGTGCTGCACGATGCCTGTTTCGTCTTGCTCTCTACTCTTCGTTTTCGCAGGACGGCCGCGGGTTTGCGGGTACTAACAGTTGGGGATATTAATCCGCCCCCAACCAGCCACACCATCAAGAATCCAGACGACAATGAAATCGGTTCGGTTGTTTTTGGTCCCGTCTTGAATGAACTGGATCACCTGGTCTGAAGTTGAAGTGGTGTTGACACATGAACGGGAGTGCTCTTGGAAAATGAAGCCCGGGATGTAAAACAGCCACACAACACCCTTAGCCTCGTGTTAATTAGATGCGAGCATCTCCAATCTCCGCGTCGGCGTTCGTATGCAAGGGGGTTTGAAGTTTGAAATCTCCATCCAGGCACAACAGCCATTTCGTTGAATCGATTGGAATGTGGAATGTACAACTCTGCGAGGGTAGTACTTACTCCTTCGTACGTTACTCCATCCACACACAGAGAGAGATCTCGCACGCGCCCTCTGTCTCCGTCTCCTTTCATCTTTTCATCCTCTGCGAGCATTGCGTACGTACATTGTGTCCATTGCATATCGCACACACGACCGGACCTTTCCACATTGTGTCCAACCTCATCCTCACCGCCAGGTCAAGGTTGCATGGCGACGTCTGGTGTAATACCTCGTGAGTCTCGAGGCATTGCATCTTGTGCCACGTCCACGGCCATGCCCATGAGACGGCGCAGCTGCTAACTTTGGATCTTGGATGTTGGTGTACCGTTTGGCCCCCTCAAACGGGTCGGTATGAACCATTAGTGTTGCACTAAAATCGAGACTTCAAGGTCTAGCGTGGCAAAGGCCGTTCCACTGTGGGCAGTAATTCAGAGGGCGAGTTCAGCTGCCGAGCCAGACACTTGCACCTCATCCCACCATCTTCGGTCTTTCGGGCAGCATCTTCAACTCCAGGGGAGAAGAGCGGCTCACCGTACCCCTTTCTAATCTCAGCAATTGGCATATTTAGCCTCCACATAGCCGGATGCAGTTCGAGATAGAATGGTTTGAATACTCGGGCTTCGGCGATGGAGATATGAGAAAGATCAATTGACCAAACGGTTGAAACACAAACCAGGCTAATAATCCAAGGTGGCAGGTACCATCACAGGGCTCAGCACGGAACTCGATGTTGCAATGATCAGTTGAGACCAGTGCTCAGTACGAAGTAGTATTTTGTGGAGAGATCAAAATGCGCACAATTGAGGATGAAAGGATCAAATGTGCAGCGTTGGTGAGCTAAACTAGTCGACGGTACAAGTACAATTACTTCTTATGTGGGTACGTCCTGAGGCGACGAAAATACTTCGCCGCGTATGAGCGGACGGGCCACACCGCATGTAACATCAATCCCGAGAAAAGACCCCATCCAACTGCCGTTGTAACTCTGTCGGTGATCATCTGCGAAGTGCTGAGGTAGCAAGTACGCTCAATCCCTCAAGTGCTCAATCATCCCAGTCTCCAAAGAGCCAAAGAGTGCAGAGTGCAGAGCGTTCTGACAGAGTACCGAGGCACGATCAAAGTGGAAGTGCATGCACAATTGCAACGGTATTGACACTTAACCTAAGCTTCGAACCTCTGCCACAGCAGAAACCAACAAATCTTCCGGCCATCCCTTGCTTCATCTAGAACTTGCATGCAATCGACGACGCACACAGGTACTCGATAAATCTGCGTTAGTCGAAATTCGTTTGGCCATCGCAATCACTCCATCGCCCTTAGATCGAGCCATGCGGAGAACCAGGGAAAAGATGACTCTCAAGCCACTCGTGTGTCCCAGGTCCGGAGTACGAAGTCTAAGATTATTGAATCCTGAACGCGGCTGATATCGAGATGACTGTGGGTTTGCACTGGGGACTGGGGTCAGGACGACCCATGTCGTGGCCTGGTCCCAGCCAAGGGCAAGGATATGTATGCTGACTTTTGCAGCTATTACGAAGTTTAGTAGATCGGGAGACGGAGACAGGACGAGCACATGCTGCTGCTCCCAGCCTGTCATTAGATCTGAATTTTTCGTCTTCTTCTTCTTCGAAATGGTGTGTTGTGATGCCCCCAAAGCCAACCCTGGCTCCTGAGAACGGATGTCCGGCCAGGGTGCGGTTGTGTCACCGTTCCCCTCCGAGGACTAGTATGCACTATGATTAGCCAGGTTACAGACGACGGTCTGCACTTCTTGCTTCTTAGTCGCACACTATCCACGACACTACCGCCGCCCAGACAAACAGCCGGCGTCTTACCAGCCTGACGGCGCCAGGAGTGGCATTTTGAAGATCGATTCTCTCCCTGTTCATCCTTCGGCCTGCCCGCGTGTGGCCTAATACTCCAAAGGCTAGCTTGCACGGCATTCGCCTGCTAGTTTGATAACGGGGAAAGATCAGAGCACACTGAGCAATCATCAGCGGTCATAGTCGCGTGAAAGCTGGTGGAAAAGGGGTGCATTCGCTCTTTTTCGCTAACTCGCTTCGATTTACGCTCCTGATCACCCGTCCAGAGGGCTCTTTTCCATGCCAGAGAAACTGCAGAGGAGCTTCCTTAGATACGGAGACCGGACCTGCATGGTCCCGTGGCTCCTCTCGAAAATGAGGAAGAGTCCCTATGCGGCCGCTGGTGCGTCTTCAGCCCTCACTAACTCTCGAGGGACCGCGAAGGAATATCGTTGAATTGGTGAACAATGAGTAGGTACAAAGGTACACAGGAAACTTGGAAGTCCACCTGTGAGTTAATACGTATGAAGTAGTTGCCCAGCACGGCTTGATAGAGCTTTGGAATCCGGCTCCGTACCACTTCGTGAAATGCCAATTCTGACCAGGCTCTCCTCGGCTTCTCATCCTGGCTTGACAACTCGGGAGACGGGCAACCGAGAAAAAGCTTCTGGAAATCCGAGCTCCCGCTCACCTCTCGTGCTAGCGCACTGAGTTTCCTCAAACAGTCGGTGTCTTCGGCTTTTGCTCCCCCTTCATTCTCCATTCCAGCCTCCCACAATCTTTCCGCAGTCTCATTGTTACCGTCCTACGAAGCATGCAAAAAGTTGCCACTGCTTAAAACCTGAATCTCATCACTCTGTGCCCACCCGTGTCGAACAAAGCAAAAAAACGGAGGCTGTAGACTTTCCCATCTGACGCATGTCATATACATACACATCGTTCTGCTCATGCCCAGACGGCTAACGCGAGGCACGAGCGTTCAGTAGTGATGTACTATAACCACGCTTCCCACGAACTGCCTGGAAAATGCGGCTGCAAGCACCCAATAAAAGCTGCATTAGATGATTCTTTTCTGGAATTTGGAACGACGACGTGTCTAGCCCCCGCCTCTCTTGAAGACTGAGCCCTTGGCCGTGCATGCTGGTAAAAGCAAACTACCTGCAGTTCTAATTGGAATTCGTGGATTCTGGATTCGCCCGCTTCGAACAAATAGCAAACACCCAGCCTGTTGGGTCGTGGAACGGAGTCTGATACGCCCGCCCTTTGCGTGTCGGACATGCCATACCTCGTAGATTCTTGCTACCGTTCCACGGTCATCCCTACACAAATACTTTTACATGTCAATAGACTTCCGCCCTGCTCACGCTCTATTGAAATCTCCGTTTGTGGGTCTCTGGCTGAAATTTCTTCGGATACCTGCCGCCCCTAGGCTTGCCGGGGGCGTAAGCCGTCTTCGTCCTCCGTCTTGGTATTGCTCGCGCTGTCCTGTTGGTGCAGCCTGCGCGCTTTGATGATCAATGGCTCGCCCACATAATACCTTAGCGTGTCCATGGCATCGTATGATGGAAATGTTCGCTCCTATCAAAGGACGGGGGGATTTTGTCGATTTCGGTTCTGATTCCGAGCGCTTGTCCCGAGAGAAAGGGTTTCCCTGGTATTTTTCTTTGTGGCAACTTCGAGACGTGTTCTGCGGGAGACGAAGCAAACATTGGGTCACATCTCATTATCCTCGTCAAACGGGGGAGGCTGAACTCTGTGGGGCAGAAGGCTTGTAGAAGCGCCTTCTTTGTAATTACCCAACAACTAACATTTGATCTAATCGTCCTCCATTAGCCCTGCGAGCTCGGCTTCTTCCTCGGCGGTCATCACGCCGGCGCCGTTCGTTCCGTTCTTTTCCTTTTCCTCTTCCGCCGGTTCACTATTGGCCTTCTTAATCTCCTCCACCACATTGTCGAGTTGTTCCTTCATGAGTGGCCACGTCCTGATAGTTCCATCGATACTTACACTGCAAACCCTATGATGAATCCCCCGTGGGTCGGGGAGCAGCACAAGGTCGGTGATTTCGTCGTAGTGGCCCTCAAGAGCACAGTAGAGATTCCCCGACGCCCTGTCCCACACCTTAACGTACTCGTCTCTCCCCGCGGTAACAACCCACGTATCGGTCGTCACGACACCCCTGAGATAGTCGCCATGGGCATACTCATCCTCCGTAGTAAAGTGCCGCGCACGAGATAGACACTTTGCCGTCCCGTCTGCGCTCGCAGTCCAAAGATCGCAGTCCTCTGTATCCGCCTCAAAGACGAGCTTATATACGCTCGTATCGTGCTCCTGGATGGTCGGCCGCTCCGAACCGGGGGCGTCGGGGTGGATCTCTGAGAGCTGTTCGTAGGAATCCTTCTTGATGCGCCAGCGGCGGATATGAGGGTCGCTGCTGGCACTGACTACGATCACTTCTTCGGCAGTCGACAGCTTGGGATCGAGGGCTAGGTGCTGGAGCGCGAGCATGGATGTTTTCGGATCCTGGATGGTGTGCAGGCGGGTACCCGTGTTGGCGTCCCAAACCATAATTTTCTTATCGGCGCCGCCGCTGACGAGGATATCTGTGTCCCCCAGCCTGGCCCACAGGATGGTCTTAACAAAGTCTGAGTGGCCGATGAATTTGGTCAGGGGCTGACCTGTGGCCAGGTTCCAAGACCAAATGCACTTGTCCCAGGATCCTGCGTAAAGGACATCGTTTTGCCTACCGCCTACAGCGAGGCAAGACGTAGGGTTTTTCGGTCCTTGATAAGTCTTGGTGACTGTGGATGTCTGGGAGAGAATCTTATGAGCCTTCGGGGGATCCTTTCCCACTTCTTCGAGATGATCTGTAGTAGCAATTCCTTACTTCGAGGTTCACACGGCGAACCCTGCCCGCAGCCTCTGCGACGAGCACAGAAGAGGAGGGAGAGACGGGATCATTGATGACGGCGAGAATCTTGGACTTTAGTACGATTGGGTTGCCAAACTTGTTCTTGGACTTCACCTCGCGCCTTTCCCTCTTCTCGATCGACGCACTTAGATATGGATGTTAGTCATGGGGCAATGAAATTTCTCGGGATAGAGGTTTCCATACTCGGTCTCGAAGAAGTTTCGAGGGTCCGCGGAGGCACTCATCGTGGAGGCGCAGGGGGTGGAGAAGCTCATGGTTGGAGACGAGGATCAGCACATGCAAAGTACGAAGAATGAGGTCTGAAAAGAACGGACTAACTGTCTAAATAGAAGAAGGTATTGATGGACGAACCTGTAAATACAGGCTTCCACCGGCCAACTATTATTAATCTGATTGCCGAAACCGTCTCATCCAGGCGAAACGTGAGGCATCAACCGGAGCATTATTTCGAACAAGTCTCCGAGGGGCAACGAGGATAGGTTCCAGTTGGCATCAGATGTCGGGCCGCACAGTGGGGCATGCCCCCCACCACACGCTCTGAACCCAATTAAAAACGCGGACTTGAAGTGCATCTTTGATCGCGTCTTGGACGCGTCGCTAGAAGTCGCCTTCAAATTCAAGACCATCGTCACCATTACTCCCCACCAACAATCTTCAATTTGACGGATTCTCACACACGAGGGAGGAAATATATACCACTTTAAGAGATCAATTACCTTCCAGAAGTGCGATTTCCAGTCTTCGCCATGGACTCGTCCAATCGAATCAAACCTCGATCTCGCCCAGCTCACACGGCAGGCACCACGCGCTGCACCTACACACCAGATGGCTCCCGCCTCATTACAGTAGGCTCGAACAATACGATTCGCATCTACAAGACGGGCTTTGACGGCGAGCCCACGAATATCGACGAATGCCCCGAACATAATGTCGCCGTAGCGGCAGCTGGTGACTTCTTCGTCGTCGGCTCCGAGGACGGCACTGTCAGTCTGTATTCTCTTGCTACGGCGTCGTTCGAGCGGTTCTTGCTCCGGTCGTCTCTCCCGATTCGAGATGTGGCGCTTTCTCCAGACGGAAAGTGGTGTGCTGTTGCGAACGACGAGACGACGGTCAAGGTTGTAAACACCGAGGACAACTTCCAAATCAAGACCCTGAAGGAACACAACCGCTCGACAAAACACCTATCATTCGATCCGAAGGCCAGTGTAATCGCCCTCACTTGCACCGACGGCATCATCTACATTTACTCGATGACCTCCGAGACCCCAGAACTGATCAGGAAGGTGGATGGAGTGGTGGGTGTGCTTGATGTCGACTCAGATTCATGCGGTGCTGTAGCATGGCACCCGGACGGACGGTCGTTCGCCGTAGCGACGCCGACACGGGATATCCAGATCATATCGAAGAACGACTGGGAGAAGCAGCGCAAATTTTCCAATGGACATCTTGGCGATATCACAGCCCTGGCGTGGTCTCCGAACGGCGCTATGCTCGCGACAGCTGGAAGGGACGGCAAGGTCTTGCTCTGGGAAACGAAGACGCAGGGTGTGATAGACCGGCACCATTTCAACAACGTTGTCGACTTGTCGTGGCATAACAAGGATAATACCCTATCTTTTACTACCACAGAGGGTGAGGTTTATATCCATACCGACTTCGTTTCGGACCAATTCGCCTCGTTCTTGAAGTTGCCAATGCAGCCGTCGCCTTTCTTCCACGACCCGTTAACCGATATTTCTGGAAATGCGAGGAGATTAGAGGCCGCGGGCAAACCACTGGCAGCGCGACCTAGGAGGGATTCTCTGGACAGCCTCGAAGATGCCGTTCTCGATGACGACCTGGACGACTACGGCGTGGACGGCGACCTTGATGACTTTGTCGTGGACGACGACGGTGCTGGATATACGACTGGTCGCAAGCGACCTGCCGAGGATGACGGGTTTGGCGACCATGCTATCAAGCGCCGCCATCTCATGCAGCCTCAGATTCATGCCGCTTTCCAGCCGGGTTCGACGCCTTGGCGTGGGAACCGAAAGTATCTCTGCCTCAACCTCATTGGCGTCGTTTGGACTGTCGACCAGGACTCTCACTACACCGTCACGGTAGAGTTTTACGACCACGAGTTTCAGAGGGATTTTCATTTCACAGACACTTTCCTCTACGACAAGGCATGCCTCAATGAGAAGGGTTCGCTCTTCTCGAACCCGCCCAAGGATGACCTGCCGGCCACTTTGTTCTATAGACCTCACGAGAGCTGGACACATCGTAGCGACTGGAGGACGGAGCTGCCCAAGGGCGAGTCTGTCGTGGCGATGTCGCTGAGCGACTCCTTCGTTACGGTGGTCACAAGCGCTAACTATGTCCGCATTTATACGCTCTTCGGCATCCCTTACCGAGTGTACCGACCAAAGAGCACGCCGGCTGTTACCTGTGCTAGTTGGAAGGACTACGTGCTGACCATGGGCAATGGCCCCGTGGGCCCGGATGGGCGAGCCAAACTTCTCTACTCGATCGAGAACATTAAGCGGGATGAGATTTGCCAAAACGAAGACACCGTTGCGCTTCCAGAAGGCGTCAACCTATCCAGCGTCTTCTTCTCCGATAAAGGTGTAAGTAAATTCTATCCATCACTGGAACAGCCCCGTACCAGGTTTCTATCCCGCAGCTCAATTTCGGTTGCGTATGACTAACATGTTCACGTTAGGATCCTTGTATATATGATTCGACTGGAACTCTCCTTACGCTCCTTCATTGGAGACAGCCTTCGCAGGCATCCTGGATCCCACTCCTCAATACCAAGCTTCTGTCCCGTTTGGCTTCGGGTCGGAAACACGAAACATACTACCCGATCGCCGTGGCAGACGACAAGTTCCACTGCATCATCCTCAAGGGCGGCGATCAATACCCATACTTCCCGCGCCCTCTCCTCTCCGAGTTCGACTTCGCCGTGCCGCTCACATCAACAGTCCCCAAGGCCAAGCGAGCGTCAGCGAACGGGGCAGAGAACGGCGGCGAAGAAGGCGGCTCAGACGTCGAAAACGGCGACGAAGACATGGACGAGGATCAGCGCGAGTCGGCGACCCTCACGCAGCAGCTCCTCGTCACGGATATCCTTGCGCGGCAGCTGCGCGACGTGCTGGCCGATGCGAGGTCCAGCGCGACGTACTCGGAGCGGTCGCTCCTCGCGAAGCTAGAGCTCGAGGTCGATAAGACGCTGCTCAAGATGTTGGCCATTGAGTGTCGGCAGTCTGAGGACCGCGGTATGCGGGCCCTGGAGATGGTGGAGCTCATGCGGGATAAGACGGGGAAGATGGCTGAGGCGGCGGGTAAGGTTGCGGATCGGTATGATAGGACTATTCTTGCGGAGAAGATTCGCGAATTAGGGGAGAAGAAGGTCAATGGTATGGATGAGGATGATGATTGAGAGGGCTAGCAGTCTCACACACACCCCTCTCACTGGTTCGCTCTTGCGGCTCATGATTCATATCGACGTGGCATGTGGAGGCGACTGAGAAGGAACATGGGTGTGGTTTTTTTTTTTTTATTTTTTTTTTTTTCATCTTTTTTTCTGGAAGCGATGTTGGAGACGATGATTGTCGTCGTTTCAGGTCAGTGATTTGCTGCGTTTCTGGAAACGGGAGTGTAATAGCGCTACGATATAACGATCTAATGTGTTTGGTTCCAACCAATTTTTGACATCTCCGGGGCGTGGAAGGCATGAGGATTCTGGCTGATCTGATTCGCCTTGTTTCCCGGATGCTGCATGAGAAGCTTCACCTGTTACAGGCCCGTATGTTTTCCTTCCACTTCAACTTCTAGAAAGTCTAGAAATCGCTCATTGTCTAAGAAGGCTTCCACGGCTATGCCCAGAGGAGCTTTTTCTCCTCTCCATGCCAAGACAGATCCGATCCCGAAGTGCCAAGCCCACACTATATGCAAACTACATACGGCTTTTTCTGTTCTCACAAGTTCTGAATCTTTTTCTCAACTTTTCGTAAGCCCTCTGAATTTGGTTAACGCACCGACGGCACCGAGGTGGGTTTCTCTGACCGAGACCTGCTGAGGCCAAGGGCCAAGGGACTTCCCAAAACCGGGGGCAGGTGAACCCGAGGACGGTTCCCGTCGATCTCCGTACCTCCCGCTTTTTACCTCGTTCCACGGTTAGGTGAGGAACCCGGGTGGCAAACTGGGAGAAAATAATTTTTTACCATAATCCTCGGCTTCTAGATAGCCTCTCTTTTTTTGATCTTTTTTTTTCTGAATTTTTTTTTTTTTTTCATTCGATTCCCCCCCCCCGAGGTGTGGAAGGTTTTTACTTCGTAGAAGCGACATAACAGGACACTAGAAAAGCAATGGTAAGGGGAAACGATGGCCCGTGAATCGGTTTCATTGCTTTTTCTGTCCATTTGGTTTGGGTTTTTTGGAGATTAACGGGAGCTGACGCGACTCCATCGTCGTGCATGAAGAAAACGAGGGTGTGGTGGTTCTTTGCAGAGAGCAAACAACCAGCAGCGTGATGGGTTCATTCTGTATTACTCGCATCGCAAACTGCGCCAGTCAGAGACTTATAAACCCCTACAGACCCTCGCTTCATCAATTCCCAGGATGAGCATGGGGTTGTTAAGGGTCCATCCCCATCCCTGATAGGCTCTGAGTATTAATTACGATGCCAGCATTTGAGGCCCGTGTAAGACTGCAATTGTGGATGTGCATCAAGATTCGTTTATTACTCGAATGCACCTGCTGCAAAGGGTAGGAGAGTCTCGTCCATTGCTACCCTCTAAAACTGGAAGATGGCGAATGGCACGGAGAGAAAGGAGTCTCGGCGCTGGCTTAGCAATGGATTGGGACAGGGACAGACAGGGACAAGCCTCGCGGGAGATAGGTTTCCACCTCCGTGACGACCCGGAAAAGAAAGAGATCCGTGTGTATTTTTGGGAGCTCGGTGGCGGATAGAGATAGTGTAGAGCCTCAATCCAGAAAGGCTTGCTGGCCTTACGAAGTACAAAACCGAGTCTTCCTTGCCGAGGTACTTGAGGAGTAGAAATGTAGAGGTACGACTCCGTGATATATTTTGGACATTTGGCTTTTTGATGTGAACACCGACGATCAACAATGAACGAGGGGCATCCATTGGTGGGTATACGAAACAGAAGGATATACTTTGTCGAAAAGTAAACGTGGGAGGCCTTGGAGCAATTAAGGTTCTCGGCTGTGTAGGCTGAGGGCGATAGACGTTAACCTTTCCTCTTCGTCCTTCAGATACAGTTTTAGATCCCTCGATCAATTTTAGTGCCTCTTCCGGGGGTGGGGGAAGGCGCGGGAGGGTCAAGCAATCGAGAGTTTGGGAACGTGGGCGGCCAGCATAGAATCAGGATCTTGATCGTTAAGCTGTACAAAAGTAGCGCGAAAGCCTAACGTGAGCATTGAACCTATCGAGCTCGGTCGTTGACATGCCGCGTGGAGATATCTCCGGTCCTCGTAGCCTGCACGGAAGCTATCTCCGGGGTCGTAGAGTTTAGTCGACTCTCGCCGGAGCCCTCACTGTCTCCCGGTTCCGCCACCTGAACGCGCTTCGACGTTAGCTTCGAGTCTCGGCCCCAGTCGAGCATGTGCCCCGGCCTATTAGCACACGCGTCCCACGCACATCTTCGGGGCTGTAACAATGATTATTACTTTGGGGGATATGGTAAGAATGCGAGCTACGAAGTAGCTGACCAGCCAAGACTCTAAGCCGAGATTTCGCTTCGACTAGTCGTGATGTGGCGGGATCCAAGCTCGCAGGGGTCGCGATTATCAGCGACCTTGGCTCGAGCTTTGAACGACTTGGGTGGTGGATTCCCCTATTCTCTTTGGTATCGACCCTCCATTTCGAGGCTATTGCCATCAGAGCTGAGTAGTTGACCATCAAAATGGCCCCCGGCTGGTTGAGGTGAGGTACAGTTGTATCCATTGATCGCTCTTACAGAGTACTTCGTACAGCGTAATGTTAGGGCATTGGTCAATGACCTGCTATCTATCAATCAGTGTTGTGTGCCATGCCCTACACATATCGATTGATACAGCGTCGTCATCATTTGGTAGTCTGGCAGGCGTTGGAGTTCGCCACAACACTGAATATTCGTTACTTCATGCTTCGTCGTTGACAATCGCAAACATTTCCAGAAACTGCCTAAGGCCGTTTCCAATATCTTTCTGCCGTCTTTCCGCGATTGAAGCGCAACTTAACTGCGCAGAGTCTAGACTGTGGGCTCTCGTGTATGTACGAAGTAGTGTAGTGTAGGCTCTAACACTAATGGAGTTGAGGACTTCATGGGCGTTGCCAGACTTTGCAAAATCCGTGATTTGGAGTGTATTGGTAGATTACAGGGTCAAATATGGAGCTCCTAGGTGCAACAGTACTACGGCGAGGTCAACGCTCGGTCCAATCACATGTACTCTTAATACAGCACAGGGGTCTGCTTCAATATCAACAGGTGCCGGCAAGTTGGGTCCTACTAAACTAGCACTACGACTGTGACAACATGGAGGCTCATTACGAACAAAGGACGAAGTTAGTTATAACTACGAAGTAGTGTAGCTCACGAGGTTACACTGCTAGCTATGAACGGAGCGGTTGGTGTAAGGGCCGGCACGCACAGCATCAATGTCAGGATATGGACATGCACACTACGAAGTAGGGGATAGATGGACAGTGGGCACTAACAGAACGAGTGGCACGAAGTTAAGCGAGACTTACAAGTGCGGCATGAATATGAATCTCCCGGCACCGCTCCGTCATCCGTACCTCGTACCCTCATGGCACTTGCTGCGTACGGCCTCAGACTCCGGGCCAGCAACTTGCCAATACCAGTATATTCCAGCACTTTGTCTGTCAACGACCCCGAAGCCTCTGCAGTCTTGCCCCATTTCCTCGATCATAGTCATGGAGTCTAATGAGCGCACGAGCACAAACTAGGGTAGGACCGTTGGCCCCCAAGGTCTGGATTATGAAATAGTAGTCTCACAGCATGGAGTATCGATTTGAGGCTAGCGTTGGTGTAGTACAGGACTACCCTTTCGTGCATGGCAGATGAGGAGCACGGTCACCGGTTGCTGAAACCCTAATCTATAGTTGTGATTAATGTCCGCGTCCGCGGTTCGCAGGGCGGGTGTTCCTGACCCTGACCCTGACCTTGATCTTGGCTGAGAGGCTATCCTGTCCTCGGAAAGCATCTTCTCGCTTGCTGGAATGGGATCTTTTGGGCCGCATTGATCTCCAACAACACTTTTGGCAACACCTCGGTTTATGCCTGGGCCCCATTCCCCCACTCCAGCTGCATCCTTGCCTCGAAATGCCGATGCCAAGTGGGTGGATGTGAATCAAATTGAACCCGCCAAGCTCTACGCTCATGTCACACTTAGCCGGACTGAAGGCGCTTTCCCCCCTATGAAGGACTCCCTTGCTGAGTATCTGAGTATCTGATACTCAATGAGATCGAGATTGCGCCTGTCCTTGGTCCTTGATAGAAGCGCTAAGTATTCTTCTTACTTCGCGGCGGACGTGAACAAGGAGCCAAAGTGTGGATCTTCCTCCCAAGTAGATGCAAACCTCGAAGCAGGGTCCTTTGTGACCGTGCGCAAGAACAATCGAGTCCACTAGTTTAGGGGCTTGATCAGACACTAATGCACACTACAGGGTCTCTGAGGTACACTACTCATCAATCAAATTGATCTTGTACATTACGTTACGAAGTCCACTGCAATTGTCACCGGGATTTGGCGTAAGGAGACGACTAGCGGCGGTGTTCAAAGGAGAAGCCAGGAACGCCACCGCAGAAGGAATACCTGCAGGTAAAACTACCCGTGGCTTTTGCATGCAAGAGTTACTACTAATACTAAGTAATACCATGTCAAGAGACAACATAGTATGAGGAATTAGCTCCAGCTAGTGATGATATCGCTGATGATTTATTCGCTAGCCTCAATGTACTGGCTGCTATTCAGCCACTTTGCTCCTACTACCAACTGATCCTTTGGGTGGAAGAGGCACGTACTTCGTAGGGTAGTGTACATCGCATCCATCCCCGACTTGGGTCAACTCAATGTTGATACTTCATAATACCGAAGTATGTACCTCGGCCTGCCCAACTTCGTCTTTTTTTCTACTCGTCCACATACACTACAGGTAGCATTGATGCTACGAGCTTGGACTATCCGTGGGATGAAATATTCTCAGAGAGTAGCATTCAGTGCGGCCAGGATCGAAAAAGAGGCGTTCAACACAGATCAGCATCAATCTGATCCTTGTCGCTCATCATTCTGAAAATGCCAGGGCTCAATCCGAAATACTTTGTACTTTGTATTATTAGCTCCCCGGACTCCGGCCGGGGTTCTCAGCCTCTGTCGATGAACGTCGTTTCATGGGTTATTACAAAATACTGG